CCTTTCCACTTAACTCATCATCCAACTCTGCCCTGCCAAAACTAAATAATAAAAGTGAACCCTATTGTTGAAGCCATAAGTAAAACAGTATAAAAAATGAGCTTCAAAAGTACAATACGAGAGCCCATCAAAGGAAAACGAATGACATCGACATGCTAACACAATACAGTCATTACAAGTCGTATAGTGCGGCAGGGTACGCTCAATCCGTAAATCCGGTGGCAGAGTAAAAAAAACAAGGCAAAAGTAGACTTCATTTTATAGAATGAAGGTTCCCAGCTTATGTACCTGTTTAGCTTGTATCGTTATTAACCATGCTACTCCCATAGTTTTTATTGCTCAGTAACAAGGTCCAGCAGAATAACTAACTGGGTAAAAGCGCAGAACGTGCTGAAATTAAAGGTTATGCTAATCAGTAAGAACTTGAGTTATGATTTTACTATTTCACTAAGAAATAAACCTTCGCCTATTTCATGTCACACAAGAAGCCGCGACATAATCAATGTAAAAAAGGGACTTGGGAAATTTAGCTCATCTGGTACAATATCCTTATCAAGTGAATAATTCTGGTGGAAATTCCATTCTTTATGTTTCTCATACAAAAACGTCTTATCATTGACCAACATTTAACCAAATAGCTTTGTTCCCTCGTCGTATCATTCAAAACATCTTGAGCAAGTTCAGGTTTAATATCTATTTTTCACGGGTGACATTTTTGGCTGTTTGAGATAAAAAATTTCCGACAAGGAAACATGTCAGATACACATTTATATTGTGTGCATATTCATATAATGTAAATTCCTTACATATGTCAGGCATCCCTTATTAATAGTGGTTGGGCAAAAAACCAACTATGTACGCATTTAGTGTAAATAAAAACTTTGAGATTTTAACCCCTCCAGGCCAAAATAAGGCATCTTTACGCCACTCTGAGATTCATGCATTAAATGTGTACTTCTTACACGTACTTCTTGCACAAGGTGTTAATTGTTGCTGTTATCACTCACGTCGTTCCACCACTGTCAATGTAACGACATGGTCATAAATTAGCTAATTGCAATTAGAAGGAACTATTACAGAATTCAAGTGTAGGAGCCATATGCATACACACTATTCCGCTATTTATAGGCGTACATAATGATAATTGTACTAATTAATAACTGCATCGCTAATTGTAGGAACACACATTTTTCTGTTGTTGTTACAATCGCATTCACCTTTTCTTTTGTCTCGTATTGTATTTGAGATTATGTAATATTTTTTAGATCTGCATATGTGAATGTTAGGATACGGTTTGTTATCTGTCTTCTTACATAGGACAAAACGTTATAAAAGGCATGTCATTCGTACGTAGGTATGTATTCTTGTGTGACAGCAGTCACCTTGGAAAAGGGGCATCTTCTGCTGCTTCATGTGAGTTGTAAAAATGCAGATAAAAACAAGGCGCCTCTGCATTGTGAAATTATTAATAAGCAGTGCGAGGCATTACTGGCAAACATTCCTGCTTAGGACATCATATTCTCAGTCATGGGGAATAATTATTACCTTCTTGAATTATAACCCTGCCCCATGTAATTGTCACGACGGAAAAAGAAGCGACACTGACAAAATGCATGTACGTAGTTGCTTAAACCTGCCTAAGGAACAATTCAAAACTGTAAAAAATCGGTTAAGGGTTTATTTCTTCTGGACAAATCGGCAAAACAAATTGCATTGGTCTGGTTATTCCCAAGTTGAAAATATACATAAAAAATACTTCGTTTGCCGTATGAAACGTGAAATAATAAAATGCTAGTACACAGCAAATAAAGTGTTGCCCGTGTTCTAGTCTAGGAATGTACAAGTCATTCTCTACAACCGACGCAATTTTATTAACGGACAGCGGAGGAAGTACAAAAAAAGACTGAACTGTCATTTCTACCATCAGCTAAAGTAGTATGTCTTCCTATCCATCGTTTGGATCTCGACTCTTTGCTCGATATAAATCTAATCTGCCAACGGTACTACACTACAATCTAGAAAAGTAGCAATACCAAACAATTAATTAATTCGGCTGCGCTGCTTGTAAATACGATCATGCAGTTGTAATTTCAGTTTGTAATTTGCGTACGAACCATAATCATTTGAATGTCGCTAGCTTTATCACTGAGAACAGTTTGGAACCAAAATTAATTAAAATTAATTTCATCAGTCTGCCTCTGCAGCTGTGGTCTGTATTGAAATGGAAATGCCAAACTGATTTGACCACGCAAAAGCCAATTTCTTTCTCTAAATTTCACAATGCGCATACGTACATGCATATTGTGTGCACCTACTTACACACAATATGGCTAAACAAAAGATTTTTCTGCTTTAACTTTCAGTGGCGCCGATACCGAAGTCTGATGAAATCAGACGCTTGACAAGACGACGGCATACCGGAAGGAAGAAAGAAGAAGGTATTGCACTGGCTCAAAAATTCATCACGTAATTTCACGTAAATTACGCCAAAGGAGCCACCGAGCACTGCACATCATGACGAGCGCCCAGCGTGTCTCCCGTTCATGACTCTACTCTATTATGGCGATAATACATAAGGGATGGATAGACCCATGTACCAACAACGAACTACTATTTTAACTTGAATAGAGCTTAAATGACGGTTCTGTTTCTTTTCATAGTGGGTATGCATGTACATGCACAAGTCTGAAAAATTGTAAGTTTCGTACATCTTCTTGAGCATGATACTTAAAAAACTGCACAAGCTATAAATCATGGATTATGAAATAAAAGACTACTGCACTACCCGGGGTACAATTTTATTTCGAAATCCAACATTCAACGCTGGGTTGATGGAGTCTGGGAGAGAGTGTGTGTGCCACACTAGCAACAATGCAACCGCTCAAAGAATAACAAACAGCAAGCAATCGTAATCAACAATTGGATGGAAATCATTCGATTCAAATTCAAGCACGTTCAACTAACGAACCACACTATCGCTGCCACCACCCAAAGAAAGGGCTAATGAACAATAGAATTTGAGTGGTCAAAATCGTGCAAATCCTGAATCCTCATGATCATGAATTACAAGGAACCCGCAGCGTAATCTGCGGGCCGAGATTTACGAAAACCGAAAAGAAGGTATAATATCTTCTGATTGTCATTTGTCTACCAGAATGCAAGCACACATCTGAAATTGTTTTTCACTTCTCAATTTCGAAACAAGTTCCCAGAACTTATTCTTCTGTGCAGAAATTTACAATATCGTACACCACTAAGCGAAAAAATGAAGTTCTCACGTTGGTATCGCTGGTTTCATTAAATTTAGCATTACATTTCCTATACATTCGTACATATGTATTCTGAACGTATGTCAATCTTTCTATGGTGGATGTTCGGAGGGTTATTCCTTCTTCCGTCTTGTAAACACTTTAGAAAATAAAAACTTTCCGCCCTATTCATGTCGTCTTGCTTTAAACGCTTGTTATTTTCCTTGTTTTCCCACCATCATGTAACTGCTCCTTGTTAAACGTATGACGTAAAAGAGTGCATAACAATCGTCATATCCCTCCAAAAAATTGTAATCATCAACATTTATGAGGATGAGCAAAAGCAGTTGGTTCATGTCGAATCATTTAGTGCTAATGATTAATATTCAAAATTGTAATGTTCCAAATGTCTGAGTATCAATGAACGACACCGAGTTTTTAAATATCATGTTCTCGACTCAGCAGCTTAATGCTTACAGACATTTTGAAAAGCAATTACATCTCTCATGTTAAATTTGATAAGCTCAAAAAAAAAAAAAAAAAAACCTTTATTACAACCACTGGACCCCACGAATGGGCCATTACCCAGGGAGGGAGAAGAGTACCTGAGCTTGGCAGTGGGGAAAAACGAGAAAAACCCACTGCAGGCACTAGGACTTGAACCCAGCACCTCCATTCAGCCCACTCAGGTGGACGGTAAGCGGGACGGCATTTCTGCCACTCCGCCTCGTCACCCTTCAAAGATTACAACATTTAAATGAGGTAGGTGATACTCTATGGCGTAACAAGATAAAAAGCGTAGTAGGATTCCACTTGAGTCAATGCAATACTTAATTGCACAGGTGTAAATAAATAAACTCAAGCCCGACTCTCAGGTGTACTTTAATTCCTCCATCTACGACTACGACGATGTATGTATGCACACGGCCAGAAGAAAGAAAGGAGCTCGGATTAAAGAGGCAATGCACTTCTCGGCCTATTGTTATCCTTCCTCTTCGCAAGTGTAAAGTAAATAAACAAATGAAATTGTTGGACATTGAAGGAACATAGTCATATCAGGCACGATGCATATTTATTATACACTACCGATAGTTGACCATTGTGGTGCACAGACACTTGTGTATGATGAACTGAGCGTACAAAAAATACCAACTAACACAATCTCAGACTGTACAGTAAGTAAAAACGCTATTCCACTTGAGTCTATTATTAAGGCCAGTAACAATGCAAAAGTGTCTGAATTAATTCTGATGGCATGAAAAGACGATGTGAACATTTTTCGTGATCGTATAGCAATAATTCTAATTCCTATCACAAAGTAGACCCAACAAATGTACACCCCAACACTATCCTCCGTTTTATCGTGAACAAAATGCAGTTTAGATTGGAAGAAAAAAATATGAATTGATTCGAAATTATGCTATAAAAAAGTACGGTCAGGTAACAACATAATACGAGACGAGGCAAGGAAATGATTTTCCTCCTCCTGTACGTACGTTCTGTCGTTCACGGTATTACAACATTACTGCAAATTTACAGTTGCATTTCTTATTCATCGTATCACTTCATTACACATCATTATCACATTATTTTTACACTTGACTAAATCTTCGACTAATAAAGTAAAGCAAACTACAAGAGAGAGGGGAGAAAGATTGAGATTACGGTTATCTCCACCGTGCATCTCATGCCAACCACATGAAGGAATTGCGGAATAAATAACAAATATTACAAAAATAACGTTCTGCGTACCTGCATAAGCCATTTTCTCCAGAAATCCTTCCAAATCAGGACTCAACACACGCTCTGCTTCAAACTCCATGCCGTACTCCAAAGCATCGTACACAACATGTACCAGTTTAGAGATAATCTGGAATAATAATACAAAAAAGTTAAATATATAGCACATTGTACATATTATGGTTTCCTTGCATTGTTGATTTGAAAGTGGATGACATTGGTCAATCTTAAATGCTACATACTTTAGATTAGCATATGCATATATGTTTAAGCAAAAAAAATGTCAGCAAAAAAACAAGAACCACCTTCAGGTTTGTCAATCAATTGAAGATAAATATTTGCATTGATGCATTCCAAAGGATTCACGAACTCGCAAAGTAAACTTTAGCTGACCCACTAATTATTGGATTGACTGAGGTAAAACTCACTTTTGTTTGCCTTCTTCAAAAGATGTTATACGTGAAGAGGGGCTATGAGTCATTTGCAAATTGCATGCTGCATACGTACAGAAGTATATATAGCAATTACACAGATAATGGAATGGTGGTAGCAAATGGAATGAGTGAACTAAATTCCAAATTTGACGTAGATTAATACATTCCATTTATTACAATCTTATCAATTCGTGGCAAGTTAAATGTTAGGCATGCAATGTATTTACTTCATCGTCAGTGAAAACTGAAAAAGTAAAAAGCAAAAGTGGACATATCAATTACATTCAGCAAATATTGTCACTTAATCATTCACGTATACGTTGTTTCTCTCTTGCACTCAGGAAAACTTGATTTTCATTTGAATAAAATAATTTAAATTAATTTATTGCTTTTTTGTGTGTAGAGGTTGAAATAAAAAGTGATGGTCTTAATTCAACATGCAACTCGTCAAACAGGCAGCAGCATCACAACCACCATCAAAGATTTACACCTTTCCCTGCTTAATTGTCGTTAATTAGGTGTAGTAAATAATCTTTAGAAAGAAAACGAGTATGCAGATAACTGCAGAGGAGTAAAGACTGGCAATTATGCGATGATTCTACTGAACGCACCAATGAATCCAAAAATGCAGAAGGAAATGTAAATGTCACAACGTATGGTGCATGTGTGATTTAAGATTCGGTAGCGTAAGTCAAATCCACCAAGAGAGCAGAATATTAAGGAAAACATAACGAATGAATCGTAGACACTAACGGCCCCGTCTGCACAATGCCTTCAACCAACTTCCCCACGATACGATCGACGATAGATAGTTTAACTAACAGTTAAAACTAGTCTTTGAAGAATTTCAACAAATGCACAACATTCCACGTCTGAACTATTACCCAAGTTTGACGCATAATAGCGTATACGATACAAATGTATATAGTACACGTACGCTATTAGTCACTTGTTCATGTTTTGCCAAATTAAATGGCTTGTTATATATATATTTTATTTGCATTGATAAAGGAATCAAAAAATCTAGCTGCTTATGTGTTATCTTATTTTGGGAACTCATTTGGTGTATTTATTTAATATGTATTTGGATACAACGTATAATCTGTATTAATACATAGTTCGTTATCATTTCATCAAGACAGTAACTGTTTGTCATCGTGCTACCCTTCGTCACCAGCTACCTTCATACCTGCCCACCCATCCATCAGACCATAATGTAGTCTGATCAGAAGTATTATGCAAACATGATAGTACTCATGAACTTGAAATTTTTGATTGTGAACCTTTGATATTGATATTGAAAAATGAAAATGATAACCAACTGAACCAAACTTGTATGAAATACAGAGAGAGAGAGAGAACAGTAACATGCACAATATATACTTGAAAACCTGTTGAACCAGCCCGTCAATTTTGTTTATTCACCGAAGGTAAATTATGCAATAATAATGCAACTCAAGTCTTGCTGCGATTGTACAAATATTATCAAGCAAAGAATACAAGTAGTGAGGAGCGTGATATCAGTGAAAATAATAATTATGCGTTTCTCCACGATTGCAAGGCATCGACAATAAACTCAGATTAAATAGCGGTGGACACACATATTTCAGTTAATTCTTTACAAAATAAATTTACAAAACTCCTCAAGCTCCATTCAACCATAAAGTTGAAATCTGAAAATTGTCAGATGTACTATAAAACAAATACGACAAGTAAATGCAACTGTACACATTACACTTATTAGATCAATCTCTATCTAAACTGTCTGTCTGCCGGTTGTACATATATGCTACTTTATGTACATATGTATTATTATGTATCTCTCCCAGATTGAAAATGTGATCCACAAATGCCGTGCTCTTTTATTAGGAATTTTGCTTCCTCGTAAAACCAGACTTGCTATTGATGCTGATTATTATAATCGGAATCCTTTGGTACAATCCGGTCAATGCCATAATTGTGATTATGTAATTTGTACCCGGTGAGGATGCCAGAAATCCCCACAACAAAGTATTTCTTTAAATCAGACAACTATTGTTGTCATCTCGTATGCCTTTATGAGACTGAAGTATTTCTGAGGAACACTAGGTCAAGTATTTATTGCAGAATTTAATATCTGGATTTTTTTTCAAATTTTGATTACAATTTACATAAAGACCTTCATTTATACAAATGCAGTAATCACTTTATTCATTCAATTTGTACTGCTAACCATTTCTAGCCAATAGTAGACCATGCAAGCCTCTGATAACCACATCACATACATACTTTTACTCACCCAGCCAACCCAATCTTATCATCCTCTTCTCAGGCTTTACCTAATGCAGCGTCCCTCTACAATTTTCATTCACCTTACAGACATCACATCATCCTCCACACCACGACCAAACCAAACCTCATCAATTGACTCAAACCACCAAACAAGTTGAATTGCATGTGCATGGCTTAATTACAAGGAAGAAGACACCTGCCCATGTCATATTGTAATATAGTAACCCTATGACCCACCGTCATTACGTGGGTGTTTTCACAATGTCAATCCCACTGTAATTTGTAATCTGGTCACTCAACAAAACATCGATCAAAGTAGGAAAGAAACCTCCTGAAGAACGACACGATCGTAGGTTTTATTCCATCCTGAACGTGCACACAGGAATCAACAACAGAGAGAGAGAGAGGAGGGGGGGATATAATATGGAAGGGTTTTGACCAAAAACGGGCACACCTTTTAGATAATTACTCCCTGGGATATTTTTTGCCATTAGCAAGTCTAAAGTTTGTCCTGCCTTGAATGATTTGCTTGAGTAAGTACAATGCAATAATAAGGACTGCGTTACTATTCTGTCTCTAATACAAATGATGGTCTGTTAATCGCAACTATTATCATGATTATCAATACCTTCTCTCTGAGATTAGCGACATGTGACAGACCTTAGAGCACTATATAGCACAATCAATTCTGTGATTGAATATGCAACCACCACGTAGAGCATCAAAGGAGATCAGTCAATATCCACAAGAGATTGACCTGTTTTGGAAAGGAAATAATGAATGACAAATCGAACCATTTACAGGTGTTTAGTGTCAGCTGCATAACTCGGGACGGTATTTATATATATGTACATGTACATGTATTATGCATTATGTGTCCAACTTTATAGCAGCAGCACAAGTTGATTTGATATTCCAAGCAGATACATAAATATTACGAATGCATATTGATTGCTACAGCAGATGCACAGGAAAACATATCCCGCTACATATCATGTTTATCGAATTATTATTGACAATGACTGCACAAATTATCTGACTTCATGACAAAGATGACCTAGCAGCAGCAGATTTCTGATTTCTTGAGGAAGATAACTCACCAATGCAATCCACACGTTGACACCATCAAAGAATTCACCTGCACCTGTAGAATTGCCACCTTGTCAGCATTTAACTTTACTTTGAGCTGTACTCCAGGAAAACTTGTTGCATTATTCTTTACCCATGAATGTGTTTCGTATAGTTCTGTATAAACGCACGTATACTGTATTCATTCATTATTGCACTTTTAATCTACCATCGCATTCCTGCCAACACGAAAGCCGTAATTCATAATTTGTTATGCAAAACAACTTTTTACCTCACCTTCGATTAATAAGCGATTACTTATCCATCGGGAATATTTTCAAAGCGGTGATTGCAAGTCTCACACTCTAATCCTAAATAGTAGAGGATGAAATTAAAGGAACAATGCCATGAACCCTTGAACTAATCGGGGAAGAATAAAAGGTCATCCCCATTGTTTTCCTTTCTTTTACCAACAATTATTATAGAAACATGGAATGAGCACATAGCATCAACAATACGTATATTGTTTAGTGGGTTCTTAATAAATAATAATTGGTCAGTGCAATTAATTCACAAATTTCTCTCTCAATAATACATATAACAATGCAGCTGCCCAAGCTATGCATGTATATACGTACATGCTTGATCCTTGAATTATCAGAGATATGCCTGTAAACTTTACGTGCCTATTAACATAGCAGTTTATGAAATGATCTCCAAGAAGATTGGCTAGCAATTAGTACATTTCATATTGATTCATTCATGTGACTTTGACTCTGAACTTGACCACGATTATTTACAGAGTCGGCTTTGATTTGCACGCTAGTTTTATCTAACACTTCCCGACGGAAGGACGGATCACAAAGGAAATGACGAGACAGAGTTATGTAAATACCATCCGGTAGTATGCTTATGAGGTATATCTAATATGCTCTTACAGATAATTAGTTGGTTCACGACAAACAACAATTAATATTTTGCACAAAAAATATCAGTGTTCAAATAGTTCGCAGGAACAATTACTCCGTCTTGAAACATTATACTTGGTCATTAAACTCGAGTAAGTTTTCATGTTTGGATAAAAGTCAATCAACATAAAACGAGTGTAATGATTTCAATGGTGCGTGTCGCAATCCCATTTGGGTCACTTCCAGACCTGGTGTGAGGGCACTAAGAAGTTTTATTTGAATTTTAAATTATTTTAAGGTGTGAAAAGCATCTCTCCAAAATCTTCTCACATAAGGGTGGGCAAGGAGTATACGTAATATGTATGCATACGTACTCGACATGGTATTCAGTATTTCAAAACGAGCACTGCACCATCACGGAATTTACCTTACAAATAATAGGTAAGTATGTACATATGTTTACATACATAAATATATACGTATATATGTACGTAGCTATAAGTGCATGCATACGTCGTGCAAGCACTAGGATGGGCTTACACATCCACCTCAATCAAATGGATCCTTTGTAGCCTTCAAATTCCTCCGACACCACTCAAAACAAGCAGAAAATGACTACACCCAAAAACCATTCAGTCCTTAAGTGCCCTTTCATCCATCCATCCACTCATTCTCAGGTCCCATTTTTGTTCCCCACCTGTATTCCACCTGTACTGAAGAATGGGAAGAGGGTTCGTTCCCGTTAAACCCAATCCTTCGTGCAAGCTATCAAGATCAAAGAAAAGGTCTGTCCCTTATTCAACGTGGATTAGGCATTGCACATACGTACATATGTACAGGGTGGTTTAAATGTCAGGTTACAATGGAAAATTTTTTAATGGGAAAAATTTTTAAATTTCCATTAGTTACGGATTTGGGATTGAGATTTTTATTAATTTTTATTAAAACTTATGACAAAATTCTTAAAATATTGAATTTCAGAGGCAAAATTTAGGTAACTAATGGATATTTGCGAATTTTTCCCATTGCAAAATTTTCCATTGTAACCTGACATTTAAACCACCCTGTATGTATTTGTATTACGTGTGCATGAAATGTCTACCTGCCGTCTGGTTGGTTATGATTTGGTGAACAGTTTCCCTCCAAACTAAACTGTAGAACCCAACAAATACAAGAATACCTAATTCCAAACTCGAAATTAGCATTGAAATTTTGAAGAGAAAAGTTGGAATAAAATTATATATGTAAGAAAACGCCACACCATTTCATTTCTCGTGGAATCTTGCTTATGTTTCATTAAAAAACTGCATCTCAATCTGTAATTTGAGATGCAATGGGTCAATTAATGTAGTCGAATCTATTAAATAAGAGCAGAAATGATGTTTCCTACTTATGTACGCGTTCAACAAAAATGTGCAAACTACGAATAAAAACTAGCATCTTCCATACATTGCAATGCTGTCGTAGTTTTACGGCCGGGATATTGATTGGCATGCAACTAATCAGCAACCTGGATTCACAACGGACTCTCCATATATTGCAATGTACAATAAATTTATATCGATCATTGTATCGAGTTTTCTCGACGTGGACGCAAAAAAACTAGGCGAATCAAGGGAAGAGGACTAATGAAATTTAATAGGAATGGAGACACGCCAAAAATTAATGCATTCTGCTGTCCTCCAAGTAGAGCAGTATCCAGTACATGGTTCGACTAGTCATGAATGATATCGATCCATCCAACAACAACTTACTCCTACAGTCCAACTTATGTTCTTCCAGAGTCATCATTACGTTATTAGTCCATCAAAAATCAAGTCATAGCAAATACAACCTACATTACTGATACACATAAACGTATGCATTATGTGTATGACAAAAAGTCATGGCCATCGGCCATCCCAATTTTGCAGCCTACTTAATTAAACGCGTACTCCAAAAATTATGCTGTTGCATTTAGCTACCACGCCGTAACTGCTGATCAACAGTGGGTGGTTCACTTCACTCCCAATTAATATGCATGAAGGAGGACAGATAAGTCCGATATCAAATATCATCATCAACACTACCTTAATTTAGTCGTAATCATGTGTTTTAAATTAAGAACTGATGCCCATCACGTGGAGGGAAGCATATTTCAAACAACTGACAATATCAGAATAAGTATGTACATATGTACATAAAATGTGTGCAATCAAAACTATGCTTACCTTGCATTCATCAGAACTGTGAACCCTGGGTGGTCCTGTAATCAGTAAAAAATGAGGAAAATTAGCATGTCTTAAAAATCCAATTTCTTCCAAATTACTCATTCATCCCAACATTATGGAATGATAAGATAAAACCACACGGCTACGCAGTCAACAAGAAGTTCCGGTCTTTATCAATAAAGCTGTTCAGGGTAAAAACTCAACCGGATTTCTTCATGTAAAACCGATTCCAAAACCATTTGCAAATTTATTTACCAACGTCACCACCAAACTAACACTCATCATCCGACAAGAGATATATGTATAGATATCGCCTCATTGTTCTTGATTATTGCATATATACCACGCATATTATGTATCGAAGCATCTCATGTATCTAGATATGTATGTATGTACATATGCACCAACGATCGTGTTCTGAGAATTGAGACTCGATTCAACAACATTTAATGTGCATCAAATTAAGGTACCACAAGAGGTTGAATATTTCAATTTTTTCTGGACTTAGCAACATGATTTTTTAGAGAAAATGAGTCAAGACATGAAGTACGGCTCCGCATAACAACAAGGGCATTGGGGCATTTTTAAGAGCTCCCCGAGATGGAGGGGATGGACTTTAAGGTCATAATGGTTGTTATTTGGAATCATTATATATTTCTGCAGGGTGTATAATCGGTTTGTGGGCTCATTTGTGTCTGGTAAAGAGATGTGAACCATTTTTGTCCTCAGAAACATAAAATAATATGGAGGGGCAAGTATAGAAATGCTATTTCGAAAAGTATGGAAGACAATATGGAAATGAGACCCATTATGCTCCCCAAGTAAAACTATTTCGCACGATGTGGGAGTCGTCCCACGTTTGTGCTCCGTATGGTTTTGACGCTAGGACGTTTTAAAAAAAATTCATCATGGTCGACTATTTTGGATATAAATACGTAAGTATAAGTAACAGCAGAAGGGGACATTTACCAAAATTTAGAGTAGTAATTTTTTTTAAAAATTTGTATTTGAACCAAATTTCTACCTACTATAATTTCTGAGAAAATTACAATCAAACTGAGTGGTATAACTCCTTGCCAACTCTCTTGTGGTACCTTAACAGGTTGAGTGAGGGTGAAGCTAAAAAATCACATATTTTTATGCTATTACGGAGCAGGTTCATGAGTGAAATAAAAAAAACAATGAAAATGAAATCGAGATGAAATGATTAAAGTTGCTCCTCACTCATATTTAAATCAAGTTCCAAATACTGCATCAAGTGAAGATCGATCGAAGCCGATCATTTGGGAGTGATCGATCGCGAGTACGTAATATAATATAAAACTCACTTTAAATTGGAACCCGGAATGGAATCCAGTTTCGCAACATAAAAACGCTTCTTGAGCATTTAATGTTGCATCAAAAAGATTCACCCGGAATTTGCAATTGTGCATTTATTGCAATGTCAAGCTCGAATGATGAAGAAGAATGCATGCAAAATGAGCGACGTTGTTTTATTTGCAAATGACCTGGCAGTAACAAATTCTCTACATCACGTGATATTTTGCAGTGACACAAATCATCCGACACAAGTTGACTGAGTTAGAGCATAAAATGATTATGATTTTAAATTTAAAGCTCACATGTAAATTGCAAGAAATTATAAAAATGCAATAGCATTCCGACATTCTTAGTTTTACTGCTTTAGGATGTATGTAGGTATTTAAATATGTATGTGCAATCATATTATAACCAACCATCAGTACCATCACCAGATTTTATTTAAATGTATGAACCTTCCAAGAAATTTTCAAAATGTTATTCAATCTAGTTTTTGATCGTTCTGCAGATGCAAATAAAAATGTATGTATAAGTATGTGCTCTGGAGACTTTACGAGTGCTATTAATTGAACAATAAATATTTCTAGTGTACAAATACAAGTCATAAGAAAACTCGCCTTTTCCTTGAGGTTCTGGCTCTAGCAGAAACGTGTCTTTGTGAACACTCCCGTCCTGGTGCAATTTGACATGTAAGGTTTCCGTGACGAGAAAGGAGTGGTTTTTGTCCTCTGGGTTGTTGAGGACGGCCTGCCCAGCCTTGATGACCTGGTGGCAAAGGGCCCAAGCCTGCTCCTCCTTGACGCCGGTAGTGAACGCGTGGAGGACGTCGGAGAGGGAGATGCACCCCCCTGCGTCCAACCGTACCAACCCCACCCTCTGGTGCATGCTCAACACTGACGCCTGCATTTGACCACCACTTCCAGCCACTTCCTGTGGCAGGAGCACCACCACTGAGAACAAGCGTCCTCCACAACGCTAACTTTATGCTGTAAACGGTATTATATTATTAGCAACAACGTTAGTTGACAACAAACACTTTTCCTCCTGCCTCACTCAATGCACAATACTAATTTTAGTAAACCCAATTCTTCTTATGTGACTTGACGCGCTCCTATTTTTACACAATTATCTCTTTGCTTCTTGTCATGGAGAAGTACTTTATTTAACCAGAGGAGTCAAATCATTCATAGTTATACGCACACAGCCAATCGTGCAAGAGCACATTGCTCCACAACTGACACAAGTGAACTGAAGCCAAAGTGGTTTCTCTGCGTTAAAACTTACTGCTGTTGAAGGGCCGTATTGGGGGGCTCGACAAGCAAGTATAACAACTTGTTGTAACTTGCTTAGATTCTCAACTTGATCAATAGTACTGGCCCTTTAGTGAAAAATATTAGATAACGTGATATATAAAAACAAAAATTTAATACGGCACTAAGTTTTGCATCGATTTTTTGCACATGTTTATTCGCATAAGGCCAGAGTAATATCATACGGAGTATTATGATGACGTAAAGCATGGTGATACTATGGACTTGCTGAAAATCCATGCAATACTATAAACGTTGAGATTAGGTGGTATGAGTCATGACAGTATAGTTCTTTTGCATATGTACCCTTAACAAAATGTACATGTTGTAACTCGAGTAGAGGTTGCATTGCATATTTCTAACAAATTAATCATATATAAATTATAGGTGTACTGTATCTGGAAACATAATCTGGAGCATATATAGATTGTTGTGTTTGTTGTGTTAATGTTTGGCTGTAAGTAGCTTATGAGTTTTTCATTTTCGAGGGTTTGACATTAACGGTCAATGTGTTAATGGAGCCAAAATAGTTTATTTAATTTCTCCATTTTAGAGTATCATTTTTCACGTCACGTATTTCATAATCTTCACCTTGAACTATTTGCAACCTATTTTGCATACTTGGATCCCTCATGATAAAATTAGTAAAGTTCTCTTGGGTCCAGAGATTTTCTGGCATTAATATTAACTTGTTTATTTTTATGGGAAGACTTGTAGATTTATTGTATTAATAAATATAATATAATATATATAAAATCATATCAACGCAATGATATTCATATGCAATTTGTAATATGTGGCAGTTTTGTATCATACAATTTTTCATACTTTTAATTTGTATGAAAAGGGTCCAACTTACCATGCACTAACTTACTTACTCATTTTGTGACTATTCTTTTAATGCCCGTCAACAACGTACAAAACCCAATTGGGATTCAGTTTCTTTACAATTAAATTTACTTAAATATTTTCCTAACTTTTCATCCCGCATGTTTAGCTAAAATGGTTTTCAATCCTTTGATTTTGGCTTGGGTTCAGAGTGAGACGTTGATGATTTTCAAATTTAATGATGCAAATGCAAAATGTGTTTGTAACAAATCCTTACTTATTTAATATTTTAGCTACTTTGCATAATAGAATATTTAATTTATCACATCACAGAGCAGAATATTGAATATTCTCCAACGCTTGCTCCTCGGTTTTGCACTTTGATAAATAAATGCTTTTGATTTGACAATCTGTAAGGAAAGAACTATTTGATTAAATGATCGAGCCCTATCTGAATATCTGAAATCAGTATCAGTATCAGAGTCTGATCATTAGGCTAAAGAAGAACCACCTCTGAAAAGAAATTAGTGAGTTCAACTTTGCCATTCCAAATTTCCAAAATCAATTTTATATTCAGCCCTGTTGAGACTTGTCTCTTACTTGTCGTGTCGTATCTCTCACGAATAATTTCACTGCTTACTCGTCTCAAACTTTCATCACACACACGATCCAGTTTAGTTTGACTTGCGGGAATCGGCGTGTTCTGATTTCGTACTTCACTTCTTCACGTTTTCCTTGATTATCCGTCAAGCAAGGACTGGCAAACTTTACTATTATCCACACCCACCCACCCAGTCTACGAGGGCGAGATGGCGAGTGAGCCGACTGGGACCGCTGGGGGGGACGAGGACGTTAACATATTTGATGAGCCATCATCCCCCCCAGAAGAAGAGTGGCGAGAAAAGGCGCTCAACTGGGCACACATTTTAAGGTAGTAAAATTAAATAAAGTTTGCAGCGTGAATTGACCAATTGAAAAAAAAATCCAAAAATACTATCGCGTCTTTTTACCCTAAATAATATCGTTAATATGAGTCTATTCGGGTTTTGAACAGTTATCTTCATACAAGTGATAACGTTTCTTCAGCGTCAGTGGCTTCGTGCCTCGCCCTGAATAAGGATATCGCATTTCTTGTGGATCAGGAAGTCATCAGGGCACACTCCTTCATACTCCAAATTCGCAGCGCTTACTTTTCACGAGCACTTGGAAGGATGTTCCTTCGAGCATTGAAAGGTCTAGGTCAATACGAGGATGAAGAGGGATACACGCTCTGGGAACTCAAACCTCTGCCGATTCCAGCGAACATGACGGATCCAGAATCTTTCAAGGCAATGATTCAGGTAATATTGTGGATAGTCACCTGATATTTAATTGTTCATGACAGTCGGGCTATTATTAATAAAGGTGGGGTTTAGTTTAATTTTTGTTGTGCTTGTTTGTTCTCAGTTCATGTATACTGAAGAATTAGACGAGCAACAAAGCGATGATAAACTTTGTGGGTTGCTCAAGGCTGGGAAGCGCTTTGAAGTCAAATTGCTGGAAAATCGATGTGAAGACCTTTTATACAAACGACTGAATATACAGAACATGCTCAACATTTATGAAGTTGCGGAACTTTTAAACAAACAACCACTAATGGAATGTTGTTTTTCTTTGATGATAAAGTAAGTATGCCTACTATTTGAAGTAATTTCACTTTTAGTTTTGATTAAATAAATAAATGCTGAACTTCAAAAAATGGTTCATGTTTATAGGAATGGAGATATGTTTTTTGAGAGTCCCGACTTTACGAAAATTAGTCATGGTCTCCTCTGCAAATTATTAGGAAATGATGACTTGTGTGTCCAAGAAAATAATATATTTGATAGTTGTCTAAGGTATTATATTACTATTCCAGGAGAAAGTGGACATGTATTGAAACTAATTGCTTCCTTTTACATTGTGTAGATGGGCACGGGCTCAATTGCAACGTTTGGGAAAGGAAGAAAACGGACAAAATTTGCGTGGTGTACTAGACCCAGCTCATACACTAATTCGATTTCCTCTTCTTCATCAGGAATTTATCGTGCAAGGAGTTCAACCTCTTGGCCTACTGTTAGATTCAGAGTTGCTGGAGATTACGATATTTTTCTTATCCCGAAATGAAAACGGACTTAAAACGTTCAGCTCGAAAAACCGATGTCACAAAGTGATAAAAATGGTTAGTCCACATTTCATTTATTTTTAGAATGAAACTTTGATTTAATTATTTTTTGATTGTAGAAACAAGAAAAAAGTACTAGTCAGCAAAGTAATGAGTACTTAAATACGAAAAAACCTTTGGCATTAGAATCCAACAACTCTTTTGAACAATCGAGTAGTAAAGTCAGATCGCAGCCTTCTCAACATACGCAAATAAATTTAACTTCAATTAATGAAATTCAATCGACCCATCCCGGAATCATTGATATTGTAAGCGATGAGGATCGTAGTGAGGCTGAAGAGGGAGAAATCAGGACTGAAGAAGTTACCCTGATGGATGCTACTACCACTACTTCTACTGCTAGTAATTTAAATAATCATAGGCAGAAAAGGTTGGTCAGCCCTGACTCAACTCATCCTCCACCAAATTGTATCGACCGACACGATAAGAGACAAGACACAGAGCAGGAGCAAACGCACGAAGAAAAGAAGAGAAAATTAGATAGTTGTCCACAACAAGCACTAGGATCACAGGATATAAAACAGGTCATAACTGCTAGACCCTCCAATTCCCAACTAAAAGGTATGTGCATTCATTCTTATAAACTCTCATGACTTTATGTATAGCTCTACGAGTATAGGTTAATTTGTGTAAATCATACAACGAAATGAGGGGGGTCAAGGGGGTCGACGGACCCCTTGAATATCGAAATTATAACATGGGGCTTATGAACAAGCACTAGATATAATACGACTTTAGGGGTCTCCAGACCCCCTGGCCCACCCATGACATTTCGATGTATGGTGTAAATATTTCATCTCGGTAGGTTGGAATAATACCGTGACAGTGAATGGAAATTTTAACGAACTGTTGTCGATTGAAGAATTGCGTGAACGTCTGAAAAGTGCTCTTCAAAATCTAGGTTAGTAAAGCACTGTTTAATCCTACTCCATTTATTACATATGTGCTTGTGAAGCAAATTTAATGGTGGTTGCATTGCTTCTAGACGTGCATACATTAGAGGACGTATTTAAAATACGCTTATACAATGTGTTTTTATCACACCGTCGAGACTTGAGCGTTATCGTCGTACCAAACTTGTGTTACGTTGAAATTGTGGTGGATTCATCCCGTCATGCGCAAACGATTTCCACTCATCCGGACAACTATTTAGTTTTTAGTCGCAAACCAGGTGATTAAGGTTTTATATTATTTTATACAGTTACATTTCACCTAGTGTTGTTCAAATAACTTACATGAAACTCTCCCGTACAGGTCCCCAAGTATTAGACTCAGACCTCTGGAATAGTCCTATTCGGATCTGTATGTGGGAAAATGGAATTCGTAGGTTTGAGCTTAACCCGAATGAGCATACGCTCTTCATTAATATCCGTGAAGGACAAACTGCATCAAATATTGTACGAAAATTGGCTGTGGATATCCCTACAAAGTACACCATTGAAAAACTAGCCCTCTGTCGGACAATATTTCATTCCAAGGTTGATCCGAAGAAACTAACTAGCTTAGTCATTCACAGGTTATTATTAGTATTAGCACAAATTACGTGCATGTTTTCATACGGCATGTCGTCTCAAGTTCAAAGTTACTTCTTGTTTTTTCTGTGTGAATTTTGATCAGATGCGAATTTGGTCGTACGGATATTCTTCGTGATTGCTGCTCTCTGGAGCTACTGAGTTGGATTGGCATCATCGAGAAGGATATTATGGATCTGGTCCATTTGACTAACGTAGCTAATACCTTGAAAACCCTCTCCTTATGTAATGTTACGGTGGCTGTCGGCGAAGGGGGGACGCCTTCTTTCAGGGTACTTGAGACCATTCACTTTGTCATGTGTAAGTGGGATGAGCAACTTGAGGTGGGTGCATCAAGTTATTAATAACAATTTATTAATATTTAGTAAACTGACAAGTGTTTAACATTTTATTGATTGACAGAGACAACTTGGGATCTTGGCCCCTGCCATCCGAAAACTGTTTATAACCGCCCCTCATAACTTTATGCCTTCCAACTTAATGGCAACCGCTTTCTTAAAGCAGATGACAGATATTGAAAATGTTATCGTGACTTATGTGCCTTCGTGCATTCTTAAATGCGATGAAAGGTAGGAAGGAAACAACTCTGTTACTAAATAAGATAAAAACTCCGATATGTATATGTATATTAAGGTATTTACATTTTGTGCTGCCCTTAGGAAAACTGAAGGGGTCAGATTCTTAAAGTTCTTTGAGTCGAATGTACAAGTGAATAACACGAATACAACTGATATAGTTATACCTAGGAATGGATTTCGTTTGTCTAGAAAGGTTAAAAAACACGCGATATTCCTATTTCTGTAGTAAATTCGACTGGTTTTATTTATTTTGTTTTATTATTTTATATTAGCTTCTTAGATGGACATTTTTTCATTTGCCATCAAACTCGTCAAACGGACCTAGCTTGACTGATAAAGAGTTTTTCGATTATTTCCTGCTGTCGGTGTTTTCCAGAGACTGTATTGCATATTTCAGAGAAACTGTGTACGACAAGAAAAATATGCAATGTTGTATTTATTTTGTGCTTGATCGTGAGCTAGATTCACGATAACAAACTTACCAACATTTATTTATTTCAGGCTTGAGTGTAAACACGCCTCGTGTCCCGGTCGGTACTTTCAGCAAGGGAATATTACAAGTCTTTGTCTACATGAGCAATCTATGTCTGATAAGTATAATAATGTCAGCCCATGTTGTGCCGGTGGTCTCTCAAAGGAAGTAGCACCAAAGGACAACGCAAGATATCAAAACTCTGTGTATAAGGTTATTGACAATTCAACAGCTAATGCTGGTTGCACGCAGGCGAGAGTGTGCGACTGTTCAAGTTGCTGCGAAACATCTTCTCCCTCTCCTTCCAAAGATTTTTATTCACATTGTTCTAAATCGTCTTCCCCTGACGACGACGACACCACTTTCAAAGCTAAAAGAGTTCGTCGTCGAACATCCAAAATTGAGAGGGATAATAATAATAATAGACGTCAATATGAGCGTACAACTATCAAAGAAACTACATCAAGTAGTAGCGAATCTTCTGATAATAGTTCGTCGTCCTTTGGTGGTCAATATATTCCAAGTACTGATAGTAGTAGTAGTAGTAGTAGTAGTAGCAGTAACAATAGCAGCGGCGATGAGTCTAGTTCTTCACCGAGTCCATGCCGTACCCGTGCTCTAGGCAGAACACGTAAAATTAGTACCTCAAGTAGCTCGTCGCTAGATAATGACAGTAGTAATAGTGACAAAAGCGCAAGACGCTCAGGAGCAGTGAGGCGACGGGTAGTTACGCGAAGTCGCGCACAAATTAGTAAGCGATGAATCTAAAGTATAAGGATAAGCTGGATATGATAAAGTGGCTTGCAACTAGTAAGCCAAGCCGTTAGCTCCCACAATATCGTATCGTACGATTCGTACGGTAAAGCGTCATTCCCTCCCTCTCGCATTATTTATAAGTAACACTCGCCTGCCTGCAACCCACACCTAGATCGACCTTAATCACTAAAACAAATTGATCATAAGTGAGCTTTTTCAATAGTAATATAAAGATGTAATTATGTGTTCTTTACAAAGATAAGACTATGTAACATGTTGAGTATGATTTTGTAAGTCGTTTTGTCATATTCTGTAATTAAATTTTATATTTGGATTGTTATGCAGAAAAAGAACTAAATTTATGAAATGCAAACCTTATAGTTGACCGCAATGCAAATTCATGCACGATTAGCGCCATCACGTATATCATAAACATACTTGCTTAGTTGCATATGATGTACGATTGACTGGGCAAATGTTAAGCACAACGACAGATGATAAGATAAGATGTGCAACACAGACGATGCTCTAATTCCGTCACATTTAACTAAACCAAGCCCTCGCCCTTGATTTCCTTTCCTTTTTCGCCCTTGTTTGCTGTACGCATTATTATTTATAAGGATGAAACAAATTCATTTTTTCGTCCTACTTGTGGTGGTGACTTTGCTTCAGAATGTCCAAGTTTACTCTTTTGAACCATCTGAATCATCAACTTCTCCAGAAAAAGGTTTGACTGCTTGCCTATACTCATAATATCTACGCTGGGCTATCATCACTCCAATTATTATTTTTTCACTGAAGTTGATGGCGTCCCTGATGATGTCCCCTGGGTTCTTCATTCTGGTGACGACCAGCACAATAATAAAACTGAAGACGAGCATGGAGTTGTTTTTGAGGATTCCACGGATTCCACTGCGATTGATGACGCCGAGACTGAAATAACAGAGGAATATGATGAGACGACCATCGTTGACGGAATAGCCTCATCCGCCAGTACTATTCCTCCAGAGAATTTAACAACATTAACTTTTCTTCCAAGTACTGATGATGATCTAGATAAGCTTACGGACCCCTCTCAGCCAGTTACAACGCAGAAAGGTGTTGTTTTCTGATGGTTTCCAAATTAAGCTATTCCACATTCGATCCAATTACATACTTGAGATATAGTTGAAATAATTTTGTATGCCTTGTGTTGTGAATGCTAGAATTGACAACGACGGCGTTGCCACCATTGCCAATTGAGGAGGGAGGAGGATTAGCGACTTGGGCAATAATAGTTGTTGCCTTGCTAGTATCCTTCGCTGTTATATTAACAGCACTCTCATTTCTCCGCAGGTTTCTCATCAGGTTAACTATTCATTTTAAGCAGTTATCATCAAAGCAATTCATTCTCATTGAGCTTATCATTGGTGGGTCTTATATAACATTTTTATATTTAGGAGGCGGAGAGAGGATCAACGTAAATTACTGCTGCGAAGTTCCTCTGCATCGTCTGAAGGATTTTTTTATGGGGATGGTTCTGGTGTCCACTCGACACGATTTCACGATTCGATCTAAAATTAAACCCTTGCATATCCGTTTGTGCCCATTCGCAGAATTAAATATACTCATAATACTACGTGCGTGCATGCCAATTCAGCTAATTCAATTTTCCGACTAAGCTAATAAACAAACAACTGGGTTTTCCAGCATTTCTGTTGAATTTGTATGCATGACTCATCCAATTAGCGTCAACTTTCCATCAACTCTGCTATATCAGATAGACTAGAGTAGTAGTTTAACTTGTACCTTTATAGGCTGAGGGAATGGATAGCAAGGATGGATGATGGTGGCACAGCAGCCAAGTGAAACTGGACGCTGAACTGACCCCTGACCTTGGGAGCCAGGCAAGGTCATAAATCACTCTAACCTGCTCAGGAAGATCATCATAAGCCCAAATAACATCCAAATAAAACTGAGATGCAGACTGTCAGAAGAAAACAAAATAAATTTTTACGACACCAAAGTGTTATATAGTGAATACAGAAAGCGTTTGTTGGTTACATATACATTACACATTATGGTGTGTGATGCACCCAGCTAGTTGCCATCCAAATGAAGTGAGATCATAAAATCAACTTTTGGTCAACAACGAACATCTTCTGCCTCTACAACTCTCCTGGGTTGCCGAATAACAAGTACGTATATCTCAGGAGTCAATCTGCCCAGTCTCACTCTCTCGACAACATGCGGACTGCAATTATACCTTTCTTACATCTCCTCCTTGCTGTGGGGCCGCTATCAGCATCCCCCTTCACCTACACGGCAGTTGCACCCCTTCGGATCACCCCGAACGCCAAGTTTGTCGTCACTACCACCCTTCACACTACTCCTGCCGACCCCGTCAAATTCTCATTTGTCCTCCAGGTATAGTGATTTGAGCGAAAACACTTATTAATTATGTACACTTATGTATACAACATTATGTGGACCCTTTTGCTACATTTGATCTAGTGTGTATTTTAACACCATAGCGTATGTCGTGGTAGGTAAATATTTGATATTTATGCGTGTGTGTATCTGTCATTGCAGGATGTCAAGAACGTGAGTGTGGCTTCTACAGACGCTACTTTATCTAAAGAGGGAAAGGAAGATGTGGAGCTTAACGTGGGGGCCCTTCAGGACGAAAACTACAACTTCACAGTCACAGCCACATCCGGAAGCGTTGTTCACACCGAACAAATCCTCGTTCAACGCGAGACAAAGGAGAGAGCTGTTCTCATTCAGACAGACAAACCGGTTCGTTGTTCAACTTAATTTATGTTCTGCACGGATGATAAAATAAATTATCATTGAATTGGATTGCATAGGTCTACAAGCCTGGAGAAACTGTGAAATTCAGAATCTTTCTTCTATCAAAGTAAGTTCAGCTCAATAAACGAAGGCGAGTCCGGCGAGTCCGTAAATGTGAATGATCTGTATGGTTAAAGATTTTTCCAACCACTGAGCACGGACAAGAGTGTGACAGTCACTGTTTACGACCCCCAACGCAACGTAATCAAGTCATGGCCCAAGGTGGCCCCTCTAAATGTCACCTCTGGTCGCGGATTCGGTTCGGAAGAGTTCCAGTTGTCACCTGAGCCCAATCTCGGCCAATGGAGCGTGGAGGCAGTGGACACTGACGGAGAAGCAGAAAGATCTACGCTTAACTTTGACGTTGACCAATATGTCCTCCCAAAATTTGTCGTTTCCCTCACCTCAACCCCCAGTTTTGTTACTTACAACGACTCTCAACTAACAATTCGGATTTCGGCTCTCTACACTCATGGCAAACCTGTACCTGCAACGTGCACCGTAATTCTTAAGGTACGTACAAGTTGTGTCCCAACTTCGTAAGTGATAATTGATGAGGCTACAATATAATTATACATGCAATAGGAACCGTACACGTATTACTTACGCGAAGGTCGTGTCGCCTCAGTTTCCAAAACAGCGGTCACTCAGGAAGGAGTGGCCAATTTGGAATTTGACGTAAAGAAAGAGTTGAAACTCAACGCGGATGAGGTGAACAAGTGGGGCAAAACCTTTTCATTTTTTGCATCATGCCAGGACATTGCGTCCGGTGAGTCCATTATTTTATTGCTTATTATTAACACTGACTTGCATGTATGTCGACAAGTTTGTTGATTTTTCACAAATGTTGGTGCCTTATTATTCATGGTTTATCTATGCGTATATATATAGGTCACGTTCGCAACGAAACGCTAAGTGTGACCATGTACCAACTATCATACAAAGTTGAACTGGTTGAAAGGCCTTCAGCCATCCGTCCCGGATTTCCTCTCAATATTACTCTCAAGGTGACCACTCATGATGATGTACCTGTTGGCGACAGTAGCCCAGACGCTTTGAAGGTGGAACATGGTTTCGACTATAGCGCAGAAGGAGGAGTCCTACGCACTTCCGTCCCACCCAATGGCATTGTCGTCCTCGAGTTTGTGGCACCAACAAACCCCAAAGTTTGCTACGAAGCTATTGATGTGGTGAGTATCGTACAATTTTTTCTATCTGGTCAACCCAAATAGTCGTCGTCACTAAATTATCTTATTTCTAAATTTGTTTTTTTCAGACGTTCAAAGAAGCTAAAGAAAGCTTTTGGTTGCCATCCAAGCGGACTTCCTCAACGGCAAGCTACATGCAACTCCAACTCCTCACCCCTGCATCAGAAGTAATTAACAATGCACTTATATGTACACATTTAATTAATTTAAATAATTTAAATGCATTTAAATACGTGTGCATGGATGTTATTAATTTGCTTCTACATATTTAAAGGTTCATGAAGGGGAACCCGTGCGGTTTAATGTTAAAACCAGCCGACCCACGCGTCATTTGAACGCACTGACTTTATCCAGAGGTTCTGTACGTAGATCAGAACTTGTTGAAATGGTGAACAAGCCCAATAAAATCGTGGCCATGGATTCTGATATCTCCATAATCCTTCCACCCCAGTCATCCCCAAGAGCACATGTCCTTTTCTACACTACGTTCGACAATGGTGACCTTATCGCCGACTCGATTCAATTAGATGTTCTTCCAGACAAGTCCAATGAGGTTGTTGTATCTGTTGCACCATCTACTCAAGAGCCAGGCAACAATGTGTCCATCTCTGTCAAAGGTTTGTGCCCAACAATTTTTGTAATATTTCATGAACGTGGAGCCCAAAAGTCAAATTCTACGACCCTCCTTGCAATTATCATGAACGTAATCATGTAGTATCATTTTATTACATATGTATTTATATTAACTCATAATTAGGTCGAAAATGGCCTGGAAAAACGTCTGTATTTGGCCTTCGTGCAGTTGACCAATCTGTCCTTTTGTTGAAGAAAGACAATGACTTGTCTCAAGATAAATTAGCTCAAGTCGCCAACAACTTCCGATCGCGTGGGAACTACTGGGGTGGTTCAGAGATATTTCAACAATTTGTGGACAATGGTCTCGGAATATTCACAAACACCAAGTTGGACAAGGGTCAACTGCAGTCACCTCTTCCACCCGCCTTGCCAATGTTCTCAAAAATATCTGCTGAAATGGCATATGACACTCAGAGTGAGGAAGAAAAATTAGATTGTAATTCGCTTGTTTTGTTATACTTTTACAATAAATAACGTGTATATATACAAATTCTACCTACAGTCCAAGGGGCTCCGGTACCTCAACGACTCCCTGTCCGTCTAAGTGGGAGTTCAGCAGCATTTGCCGCCGGAAGTAGTGGTGGAGGAGCACCACCCCCTCCACGTATTCGAACAAATTTTCCTGAAACGTGGATTTGGGAAGATGTGGAAAGTAGTGATGGCGAAATAACTCTTCACAAAACCGTTCCTGACACAATCACTTCTTGGTTCGTATCTGCCTTCCAAGTAGACAAAATGACAGGACTAAGTTTGGGTACAAGTCCAGCCAAGGTCACAGTCTTCCGACCTTTCTTCATTGTCCTCAACCTACCCTACTCGGTCATTAAAGGGGAGATTCTGGTTCTTCAGGTATGTACATATACATGTATTACATAATGCCAAAGTGAAACAGTCTGTGTCATGGCGTATCTGCTTGCTATCTTCCTTATGTATATATGTATAATTTTTCGCTTCGTGTGTGTCGTTATCGACTATCACAGGTACTTATTCATAACTACCTGGATAAACCTGTTACCGCCGCAGTAACGTTAGACAATGCTGACGGCTTCTTCAAATTTGTGGATGCTGAAAATGAAATCAGTTCAAATGATGGAAAACCTGCGACCGAAATGACAAAGAATGTCCATGTTAATGCATCCTCCATTTCCACGTTGACTTTCCCAATCTCTCCTCTTAAGCACGGCATCATGACCCTCAAGGCCAAGGCCACAACTCCTGAGGCAGGTGATGCTCTAGTTCGAACACTTATCGTAAAGCCACCAGGTATGTCATGGTTTTTAAAAATAATTTTCAGATGTATTCACTTGTGATAGTGGGCCATAAATTGTTAAACCTTCTAAATAACTCGTATTTAATGATTTAATGTATTATTTTCAGGCATCCGTCACGTTCAAAACAGTGCAGTACTTGTAAACTTGTTGACTTCACCCACGTTTTCCGCCAAAGGGTTGTCTGCAGTATTTCCCGATAATCGTGTCCCTGATGCAGACTCATTGAAAGTTTCTGTTATCGGTGACATCCTCGGAGGAACACTCCACAACTTGGATAAGTTGATCCAACTTCCACGAGGTTGTGGAGAACAGAACATGGTGAATTTTGTGCCTAATATTGTCGTCCTGGACTACCTTAACGTCACAGGAGGCCTCACCGATGACATTAGAAGAAAAACAACCCAGTTTTTGGAGAGAGGTTACCAACAGCAGTTGACATATTTTCGGTAAGATGATAATAATGACCGTACTGAACATTGAACAAGTGTCCTACATGCATGCATAATCGTCATGCATAATCGTCATTATATTATAGTAATTTCTATTCTGCATTGAACAATGTCTTTTAATCACGTTTTAATTATCCTTTTCTTAAGAAACGACGGCTCATTCTCAGCCTTTGGGAAATCAGACAGCACTGGTTCAACTTGGTTAACGGCTTTTGTCACTCGAGCATTTATCCAAGCTCGAAAATACATCACTGTGGATGAAGAAGTCATCAATCGATCGCTTCGTTTTCTCATTCGTCAACAGAATGATAACGGAAGTTTTGCTGAGGATGGTTTCGTGTATGATAAGTCCCTTCAAGGCGGAGTCGGTGGTCAAGGCCAAGTGGCACTCACCGCCTTCACCCTTCTCGGTAACTTTTTGTTTATCAAACCCTGTGCAGCTTTCTTAACTTTTCTATAATCCCTGGTCAGGAATATTTATTATTAACCTGAAAGGATTTTAACATTGCATGCATTTGGCACGAAACAATTTCTGATTCCAAATTTTTCTGTATTAATAGCTTGCCAAAATTAGTATGGATCCTTTATGGGCTAGTTCATGATAAAATTTTGCTTCATATTCACTGTTCACAGAGACTCGATGTTAGCCACTATGCAAAATGGAATATTCATCAAGAATGTACTGAATTTGGTTATATCTTTTTTTATTTTAGCATTCGTTGAGGCCGACGCAGGTGGTCTGAAACCGAATGCATCTGTTCTGGAACAAGGGTTGGCCTTCATCTTTAACCAGACATTAAATAAGGACCCCTACACAGCTAATTTGGTCAGCTACCTCCTCCACCGAGCCAACCATCCCCGTAAGGACGACTATTATAAAATATCTAAGGATCTAGTCCGCCATGAGAATGACACCATTCATTGGGAACAAATCAGTAAACAGCGACCAAGCAGCAACATTACCACAAGTTTTAAGCCCATGTGGAGAGAGATCAACAGGTTGTTGTTATCATCATCACAAAGCATTTATTTATATCGCATGAAATGCTATTGCTTTAAACCATACATGACTATATATGTACGAATCAATAATTAAGTATTGTTCGAATCATATTGATTTTGACCAGGATAAAGCCAGCCACTGTAGAAATTACATCGTATGGACTTTTGACCTACGTCATGCGTCGCGAGTTGGATGACGCCGTTTCAATTTCAAAATGGTTAGATATTATTAACCCATAACTCATAATATTTTATGGATTATATTTTGAAATACGCCGTACTAATTGTTTATTCCCAGGCTATTGCGTCACCGGAACGCAGAGGGCGGTTTCTTCTCAACACAAGATACAATTGTTGGAATAACTTCGCTTGCCGAGTTTGCACAAGCCATTAGCATTGGTGAGGGCGCAGTCGAAGTAAAGGTGTCATGGGCTGATGGGAGTCACGACTTTCAAGTTGCTCCCTCTAATCGAATAGTTGTTCAAGAGTTCATTTTGCCACCCAATGTACACCTGGTAGACTTAAGTGGTACTGGAAAAGGAACCGCATTAGCCCAACTTACTTGGAGCTATTATGTAGAACAGACTGACGCGGAGCCTGCTTTTGAGCTTACCACCGACGTAAGTCTATTATAACGACCTAATTAATACTGTTAAATGCAGGTAACAATGTTCTGTGAAATAATCCGTACGTGCATATGTAGGTGAAGGAAAAGGACAAAGGACGAACTTTGACCATGAAGATTTGTGCCGCATATACTCGTGGGGATCGTTCCAACATGGCAATCGTGGAGGCCAACACTCCATCAGGATATGCATTTGACGAGGAGGAATTGATTTCCTTGAGGAACAACGAGGGAGTCTTCAAACGATATGAGCTGGAGAATAAGGACTCTCATGTCAACTTGTATTTTGAGGGCTTGGAGGCGCAAAGCAAGTGTGTTTCCCTCTTGGCGTATCGAATTTATTTGGTGGCGAAGCATGCACCAGGGGAAGTTTCCGTCTACGACTATTATGACAATACACAAAAGGCACAAGTTCTGTACCCCGTTCCTCCCGTGTCTCTCTGCGACATTTGTGCCACAGAACCATCGTGCAAGATCGCGGAGTGTGCCTAAATATTTGGTTTATGTACAATTTTACACCATATTTTCATTAAGTACTCGACCTGCCACACTGTATTACCTTTACTGCTCAATAAAATTTAAGAAAAACACACTCGTGGGTAGTATGTACATGTGTATGAATGCATATATCAGAGCACCAGTTTCATTGAGAAATGATGACGTAGAGAACTTTATTAAAATTCGTGATGAGAATTTCAAATACATAGCGGAAAGCTGTTATAAAGGCTATGCATATATGTAGATAGATGTTTATTATAGTTTTAAATATGACATAGTCAAATAAGTTGATTTATTGGTATTACTAGACGTGCATGTTTGAGAAAGAAAAGGAAAAACATTGCATAATCAACATTTCAGCTATGATTTTCTTGATTGGAATTAGGAATAACGGCTGGGGTCAAAGGTTGTGGTAGTGAAAAATTCAAGTCGATGTCCGATAAAAGGTCAAAGTTGCTACTCATCGCTTGTTTCTGGGGTGGAGCTTGAGGTTGCTGCTGCTGTTGCGGATAAAATTGACCCTGGCCCTGTGGCTGACCTTGCATATAATAAATAGATTGCTGTTGCGATGTTGGAAGGCTTTGCGGTGTCTGTTGATTAGGAGGAGTATAATAATTCTGTTGCTGGTCTATTACTCTACTTTGGTTATTAAATCCATTATTTGAATTTGGGTATTGAAACTGTTGGCCTTGTCCTGCTTGATATCCATGTTGAGCCGTTTGTAAAGGTTGTGGCGTGGGCGGCTGCTGATAGTTCAGTGCAGGATTTTGATTTTGTTGAGGTACAACATTAGGAAATTGATTTGATGCAAGAGACTGGGAACTCAGTCCAAAGAAATTAGGTAGAGTGCTGTTAATGGAAGTAGAAGTCCTGTTTGAAGTCACAGTTGCTGCACCCATGTGTTGTTTTACATATTTCGCCAGATAACTGTCGTTGGGGTTATACTCCTGAGGAGGATGCGACGGAGGTTGTTGGCTCTGTTGCTGCGAAGGAAGAACAGGTGGATACGACAAAGGTTGTTGGCCCTGTTGGTGCTGGGGAGGAGGTGGATACGACGAAGGTTGCTGACCCTGTTGCTGCTGCGAAGGAGGAACAGATGCATAAGACGAAGGTTGCTGGCCCTGTTGTTGCTGCGCTGGAGGAACAGATGGATAAGACGAAGGTTGCTGGCCCTGTTGTTGCTGCGAAGGAGGAGCAGATGCATAAGACGAAGGTTGCTGGCCCTGTTGCTGCTGCGTAGGAGGAACAGGTGGATAAGACGAAGGTCGCTGGCCCTGCTGCTGCTGCGAAAGAGGAACAGATGGATAAGACGAAGGTTGCTGGCCCTGTTGCTGCTGCGTAGGAGGAACAGGTGGATAAGACGAAGGTTGCTGCTGCGAAGGAAGAACAGATGGATAAGAGGAAGGTTGCTGGCCCTGTTGCTGCTGCGGGGGAGGTGGGTACGACGAATGTTCCTGTTGCTGCTGCGGATAAGAGTAATACTGCCCTTGGCCGTAAAATGTTTGTGTTGGAAGGACGGACGTTTGAGGTTGATAAAACTGTTGATTTTGCTGTATTTGCATAGGATTTACTAGATTGTGAGAATACGGCGTATTATTTGCAACCGAATTATTTATTGAAGGTGGCTGGACTGGTTGATTAGGTTGTTTTTTCATTGCAAGAACGTCCTTTAACTTCAAATGTCCGGTAGTCGATGATATTGAGAAATTTTCTTGGAAATTCCCTCCAGGTTTAGGAACAAATTGACCCATATTCAAATTCACATTGTTAGCTCCAACTGGAGGCATGTGGTTGGACATGTTATTGAAATTCATAGCTTTCGTTTTGTTAATCAAGGTGTTCATTGCGGTTTCACGTTCCTCCTCTTGAACTTTGCAGACTGATCTCACTCGTTGTAACAATTTCTGTACATTTGTGTCCAGCTTTGTATAAAACTCGATACCCTTATTGCACTTGTTTAGCAATTCGTCATAACTTTCATAAGAGGAAATAAGATCTTCAATAACTTTATCCCGTCTTTTCATTACTTGGACAGTCTTTTTCCTCGTCTCGGCATAGTTAGCATTCGCTTCAGTTAGAGCACGAATAATGTTGTCTTGAGCCAAAAGGTTTTGATCAAGAATTTGAGTGATCTTATCGTGTTTTTTCAACTCTTCCCGAAAAAGTTCCATTAAATCAGACTCCACTTTAATCACAATTTTGCTGGTGATATCGTCACTGTGAATTGATTCCCGTAGTTGATTTTCCAATGTAATACGTTGTTTCCTCATTTCGTCCACTTTTCCTATTAGCCTCTTCATTTGGGAGATCGCTTCTTGATCCGCTTCATCTGAAATAAAAATTTGACATGTTTAACAATATGTCTATATAGAATATTGTATTACATCAAGCAAGCAATTTATACAATTCCTTAAATACCATCGTCGTCAAATGAGGGAATGTGTTGTATCACTTCGTTAAATGGTTTCATTAGAATTTGCAAGTTCCCAACATGTTTGCTCAAAGCTTCATGAAGTGTTTGATTTGTTTCGGATGCCACGGAATGAGCACTTCGATATTTTTGAACCTCTCTGTTCAATTCCAACCATACGTTACTTGGTGGACGTTTCGTTCCCATTATATCACAATGTTCTTTTTCTTTCGCTTCGTCCTCCTAGAAAGTAAGTATTACGTACAATTATAATAAACTGGATAATATTTGTGTGGTATACACTTGCTCCTCGGTTTGTTTTTGTTCTTACTTTCAGAATGTCTTCAATTTCGCCAAGATTTCCCTCCACATCATGAAACATTCCACTCAGTTTGGACATTGAATCAGATAACCTCTTTACCGCATCTTTATTCACACTTAGAGCTGCACAGCAGTCAACGAGTTCCTTTATTTCACCAGAACAATGTTATTATAGCAAACTCCTATCAACTATATATTGTTACATATATTTTACTTGGGGGATTTTTTTTGTAGATGATTGTAAGTCAATTTGATCTAGTTGAAGAGCAATTATCATTTTATCCAACGTTTCGTTTTTGCCTTCTATTTTTCCAGAGTAATGTCGAAGTATTTTGGCTTTCTCTTCACTAAATAAAACAAACATTTTCATGCATACAACAGATATGAGAAAAAACATTCATCTCAAAGATTGATGTCAAAGAAAAAAAGACCAACCTGTACAACGACGAAACCTCGTGAGCTTCTATAGGCACAAGTCGGCCAAAGATATCTGGGCCTTGACAAATGTACAGAGAATGGATAAATGATATTATCATATTATGTACCGTGGATGATGAATTAATAAAAACGTAATCGCTAAATATTGTCTTACCAGCAATTTGTGGATCATCGAATTTGAATGGAATACCCTTGACTAAAGACACTCCCTTTATTTCTGACGTGATTGCACTTAACTCAGGAACCTTTTCATGATAAACAAACTCATTTTCCTTTTCCGAAATGGTAACTTTTCCTTGAACGACGTCATATGTAAACTGGATCGTGTCGTGGATATTCTGTAGAATTGGATTAACAAAAATTAATTCACAACTGAAACACACCCAAATTTTAATTAGAATAAAATGTGATGATGATGAGAGTTACGTCTTACGTCAGTTTTGTCGACAGACTTTGCACATTTCGAAGCCTCGTTGAGTTTTTCTAATGCAGCTTTGTAAAAGGTGACACGATCTCCATACTTTGTTTCATCTTCTGCTTGCAATCCACGATATAAAAGAGCGATGCTGCCGTAATAATGAGACTTTAACTCGACTAGTTTCCTCCATTTCTACAGAAAAGCATAAAAATACAAAATCTTTTTAACAATTCAACAACAGAAATAAACAGTCCTTGAAGGTATACTTGCCTTAACAGCTTTTATGACCTTATCTGAATACTGTCCAGCATCCTTAATCATTTGGTCAGAGGTTTTGAATACAAGTTGGTAATATTCCACAATTTGTAGCGCCACCTTTGCTGTTATAGTCGATTTTCTGTTATCGATTAAGCTCTTCTCCAAAATGCATTCCTGAGCCTGAGCCAGGCAGATATTGGTCATAATGCTCAACGTATCAGGAGAAATGTCTTGAGTAAAAAAGTTTTGATAGTTATGGCGCATTTGTTGGAAAGCCCAGGCCGCACATTGGAAGTGTGTACAGGCATTCTAGCATCAATCAAAACAAACGTAATTATACATAATTGGCATGAAAGTTTCAAAAATTAAAAAAATAGCATACACAAATAAGCAATGCCGCAGCCACCAACCTTCATTCCATCAGCGGTTTGACGACTGTCAGTGGCACCAAGCTCTGAATGTAACGCACCAATGTTGTAGAAAATGCACGACATTTCAAATTCAACATCTGCCCACCCATGAACAGTTTCTGAAAACACATCGTGCCTAAAAATAATATGCAATCACATTCACAGTACCATTCCGAACAACAAAGTTGAGGAAATTCAAGGATTGTTTATTTGCCTACCAACTAAATGTAATAGCACAAGGACCTCCTTCCATCATTGGAAATCTAGTCCGGAGAAGGTTCAATTGACAGAAATATTTTTTCAAAGTTGAACATCCAGAAAAATCTTTAGAAATGTGAATCGCTCCAGCTCTCAATCGTTCCAATTCATGTATTTCAGTACTATAACTCTCTCCGTCTTCCTTGTATTCATCTCGAATGTACTGTAAAAATTAATCAGTTGATCATGTTTTTTTATATCATAATCAACCTAAACGTTGTTATTTATTTATTATTTAAATAGCCCAGCATGCATTCTGAATTCAGTCTGATTTTCACTCACCGCTTTTAACTTGGCCTTAAAACTAGGAGCATCTGCACTTTTTCGCAGAGGAAACGACACCATCGATATTCTCGGGACACCTTCCATCTTATAAATAAATTCAGTATATTTAAGATTATGCTAATCGATCACACAGTATGGTCCTCTGTCCTAATAGGTTCAAAAAGTTGCAAGTTGTTATCTAGAACAAACGTTTGCCAAACATTAATTACGCTCAAATATCATTAAATGTTGTACCCACCTTGACTTGATTTATTCTTTTAGTTGTATTACACAACTTGTGTCGTATTGATAAATAAAGGCAATCACAATCTGCATAAAATAATAAATATTTATAAATAAAATTTCGCAATGTGTGCAATTTTTGTGAATCACAAGAATCAATTCTTTCACATTCCAGTAAAAAATCAACTATATGTATTGTATTTATTGTATGTATGTATTCGATATATTTCTGAACTTTTTCAGGCAAACGCCTATAAAGTTCCAACAGTGGTGCTATATGTTAAATGTTTATATTTGAACACATAAATCCGATAAAATTTGTAAACACCGACTTTTCAGAGCAAAAAACAAAATCTGAAAACGAAACTTCAATGACAGTTTTTAAAATACCTTAAATATCCTCCAGAATCATTATACAAACAACATGATGAGCAGCCTAATTGTTGATTCTAGAATTTCAATTAACAGTGTAAGGGACGATTGTCAATTGTTGACACTAATTAGTTCATACTACGAATGGAGTAAATTTATTATTGTCAATCGTCCGTCTGAGTAATGATCATGTGAGATTTGTTGTGGGAGGTGGTGTGGGCTGTGGGTGCGAGATGGCTCTCAGTTTTATGTGCCTTCCAACCGCTGCCAACGTGGCTCAAGTTGGCTGATGAATGAACGGGATCACTCCTCGCAATCCCGTCAGTCGGTTTAGTCAATGCTGAGAGTCAAGCTGAACCAGTCTGCAAATTGGTAAAGCTATCCACACGACTAATTAATTGTAAACATTCCAAAAGATTGTCATTAATTGAAAATGGTAAGTCCTTTAAATTACTAAGCTCAAATTTGTTATCGGTCATCTGTACGAGTTTGGTGGTCGTGAAGCTTCCAATGATGATAGCGTATATTGTATTATTCTTGTTAACGTTCTCTGTTTAACTTCAGCCTGCACCAGCCAGCTCGACGACGGTGGGAGCGGGTGGAAAGTCACCTCGAGGGGGTGGGGGAGGTGCTCCTCGACCAGCCGGTGGCAGCAGCACCGTTCGTCAACGTAAAACGACATCAACCACAGCGGCGAGAACCGCACGACCTCCAGCAGCCTCAACCGGCTCAATGTGGCGATTTTACACTGATGACTCTCCTGGAATCAAAGTGTACGTTTCTACTAATCTCGTTTTATAGTTGGTCGAGTTTTGTTTTCTAATTATGTCGTGTCCTGTCTTATTATTAGTGGACCAGTTCCCGTTTTGGTGATGTCACTCCTGTTCATTGCTTCCGTTTTCATGCTTCACATCTGGGGAAAATACACTCGCTCATAAACTCTCCGGTTGAAGATAATTCCTTTTGTAATGAAATGATAATATATATATATATAGCGATTATAAACATTATAAACATATTCCTCAGAGTTTAAACTGGTGTGCAATTCGATTATAATACCGACATTAAAAATTTTGATAATATTTCCGTTACAATTCAAACTAACCCATGCATATTATTATGTTACACTCGAAAGCTGTTCATAGCACGTGCAAATTAAGAGCAGAAGACATCAATATTTTGTACTAGCTAAATATGTACGGCACAATATTTAATAAGTTTGAGCGAAAAGAACTTTTTACACAAAATATTGAAAACTTTTAATATCATTGAGATGGTCGATACATCATCATCACATTGGACTTTTATATTAATTTTTCAACGGTCACCTATCGTTTGGGCATGTCGACCGTCTTGAATCTTGGCAGTTTTGTTCTTCATCCATCCATGCTCCAAAATTTCTTGCAAACGTATTCTTTTTGTGGCGTGAACACGTAGACATTTGCGGATCAAATCCTGGCATTGGGAACTTACATTTCCGTTCATGTTCAACTGTGCACCAACAATTTGTTTGTCCGTCTGAAACGGTATATCTCCTGCGACCATAGCATGCAGTAGGATTCCTAATGACCACACCGTTGCTGCGTCACCCGCATACCGACCATTAATAATCCATTCTGGAGGAGCATAGACTCGAGTTCCTTCATAGTCCTTGTATAACCCATCGTGGCGATATGTTCCTGCTCCAAAATCAATCAGCTTTAGAGTATTCGTGCTTTGATCTACAATCACATTTTCATCTTTGATGTCCCGGTGAACAAAGCCAGCGGCATGACATGAGATTATAGTGGTGACGAGTTGCTTCAAAAAGTTGGACGCCTCATCCTCATCCAAGACCCCTTTGTCATTGATGTAGTCAAACAAATCTTTAGATTTTGGAGGTCGTTCTGTTACAATAATGAAACCTGATGATGATTCAAAGTAATCCAACAGTTTGATGACGCCCGGAGCATGAACTAGTTTGCTCAGGATATAGATCTCCAATGGGACTACGAGCCCACCTTCCATGACCTTCCATTCTTTGACTTTGATTTTATCCACACTTTTTAAGGCGACGGGAAGATTGTCTCCTATTCGGACACCCGAATAAACAGTTCCGAACCCACCCTTTCCCAAAATTTTACCTTGATGATAAATGTGAGATAAGCTTTTCGGTGGTGGTGGTGCTAGCGATAGATTACTAATTATAATGTCCTCAGTAGTAGGTGAATCTGTGTCGTCTTCAGTTTCAGCTTCAGTTTCAGCATTCTTTTCTTCATGACTGAATGATTGAAAAAATTCGGCTTCTCTAGCGTTACTTATCACCATTGCCAATTACTGAAATTCAAAATAGAGTGCAGTCGTTAGAAATGTTGCAAACCATGCACCACATATATGCAAAGAAGAACACGAATGGGTGTTTTACCGTCAGTGTGTTATTATTCCAATTTCCTCGGAAATTATGATCAAACTCAAACAAGAATTTTAATTTTTAAATTAATTTTTAAAACGAAATTGTGTTACTTTTACTTTATGGGTTCGCCTGGAGGAGGCTTGTGCGTGCCTCAACGGTTTGCAACGCTGTCGTCTTGTCGTCATCGCTTTCGTCTTGTTCTCCTCCCCATCTTGGCGTCCAAGGTCATTGACACGTCTCCATCGCATTCCGGTCTGCGATTGATTATTTTTGCTGGCAATTTTAGTATATCTATTAATTTAGAATTGTGTAAATGAAACCAAAGATGAACAGACTGTTCAGAACAGTACATATGAAATAAGTTTAGAGACAAGTCAAATTTCAACAATTTATATATTTATGCTCATCATCAAATATCGTAGATAAGGTAAACATCATCATTATCATTTGTCCTCATTAGCTATGTTTGTATGTATGACGGGCTAGGTAAAAGTATGAATGAGACTTGCTTACTACAACTTGTTTGCTAACTTCATTAATTAATTAATTAGTTTATATTATACTGTATATAGCAGTATACATAGAATAACTAAAAAAAGTGGAGTTTTCCCATTTCTCTAAAAAGATTCTTGAAATTTTGTTTGGATACACATTTCAGTAGAGGTAGAATTTTTTATGACGTCGAATTTCAGTAGAATACAAAATTTCTTCAGAAGTTTTATTAGCATAGTCGTCAGTCCTTTCAATATTTTATGAACATTGAGCACACACCATAGCTTAGGCTATATCGAGAAATGTTAGAAACAATGAGTAACAATAGTTTAAAATCTGAAATTTTTGTGATTCCTCTCTTCCTGTAAAAGCCCAATTTGCCGACATTCATTTTGATTTATGTATTCTTAGCCAATAATTTGGTTATCAATTTTTCCTTCTCTAAAGTGTGGACATATTTCGAATTCATTACAGAGATTACCTTCATTAATTGGAAAATGGAGTATAGAAACCCTTGCTTTATATTTTATATGTAAGCTCCTTAAAGTCGTCCTGTACAAGAAACAATTATGTATAGTACAGAAACAAAGAAAAAAAGACTTCCGGATGAAGGAACATTACATATTCTTACGTACTCTACTACACCTTCTGTCTGTCTAGCACCAAATTCTTTTAAATACCTATGTATTAATCGCGATGTGTCGCCGTCGCGAAAATGAGAATTTTACCAATTTGGCAACTCAGGAAAGATTTTTTTTATTACAGAGAAAGGACAGAAATGGAAACGGGTGAATGAAAAATCATTTGTACTTTGTCGAAGCGTTATTGGCTTCTCCTTATTTATGCTATCAACTTACACAATATGTGTTATAATGACATTGCAATAAGGTATACTTTACATCAGCAATTGGCACCAGCAATTCTGATTGATTGATTTGCTCAGTAATGCTCAGTGACCATTATGATTGAAATGAAGGAGAGTTATCTATTTTTAACATTATCAACCTTATAAATAATTAACATCTATTTGTTACCAACTAAGCCGGCTATATATTTTACATTTCTTAAGCATCCGAACTCCGACTTTGTATTTGTAAATTTAACTCTTTTCTTCCTCTTGAGAATGAGAAGACAACTCATTTTCAACTTGACCAACAAAATGTATCATCCAACTAAAATTTATTTCTACTGATTTGAATTTGTTAACAATGTTTATCAAATTTTCCAAATTTTACATGATTAAATATTTCCAAACACAAACAATATCCGCCCTGAAACAACCTTTCCTTTCTTAAAAATAATTTGTAAAAATCTTTGTTGGTAAATAAATTGACTAGAACCAAAACTGCATATGGTGCATATGCAGTCCTCACCAGTGTCTGGACAAAACAGAAAATTAAGTAGATGACATAAATCAAAAATCTTAACTATACGTCTTGAAGTAAAATGGTTTAAAATAAAATAATAAAGCTGGTCATAAAATAACAGTGTTTATAAACCTCCTTCAAGTTCAAGAATTAGTTAACTAATTAATTTGCACTAATGTACAATTACCTGAAATTCTTACATTTACATTGAACCCGTTTTGTTAGTATATGTAGAGGTATTTCGTACTGTACTTGTACACAAAATTACATAAATCTAGGAAAACAAATGCACGCTTCTAGACATATAGATATATTATTATACAAGTATTTTTATGTACAACACCTACCAATAATATAACTATTTAATTATGGGGTTTCACATGTTTCCATTAATAATAAAAACAAAAACTCAATATCATATCATACATATCATCGCATTCCTTCTCAGGTATTTAAGAACTAAAATCTCTCAACCAAAATAATCAATTCTCAGATCACATACAAATTCCATAATACCACACAAAATTCACAATAAAGTCATAATAAGACGCAAAGGTACGTACTGCGGTCGTTTTCTAAAATAATCAAGGGCAAAATTTGGTTAAATACAATTTCTAAAAGCCTGCTTTAATGAATTTTTTCATCTTCCATGTTCAGGAAACTCTGTCAAAGAGTGACTACGTGAGTACATACACGCTTAATGTTAAACTTTTACAAGGTAACAACAATTAACGCCACTCACGAAATCTTACTCATCACTCCATCACGATAACATAACTAATTATTCCGCATGGTCACAATGACTATCAGATAATAACAAGTTTCAACTGTCTTGATGTTCAAAACACCAAAACTATTTACTTTGCCACATTCCTGCATGGTCACGACATAAGTTATACAAATTACGAGGAGAAAGCACCTTCGAATTATTATGTAACTTATTTTCCTTTGTCTTTCCCGACCGAATTCTCTCTACTCCATATGCTTACATACATACATGCATACATAATTAAGTTCAATAATTTTCCAATCCACTAATATTTCTTAGGGCGTCAAATAAGTCACGTGAAATTAAGAAAAAAGTTACAGAAACAGATCTTCAAAATTGAGAGTTTTGTGTAGGTAAAAGATCTCATGCATAAACCGTTGAGTTGTTCACAGAGAACTTGAGAGGTAGCTAATGGTTGTATATTGCGTGTTTTGTAATACTCAACTAATTTGCTTTGTTTTCAATACAAATCTCACACAACAATCTGAAAACTGTTCAGTAACTTTTCCCAATAAAACAATACAAATACCCCAAAATTTAGTCAGCGAAACATAATTTAATGCATTCTCATTTATTCGTCCACAATACTTTCTCTATGTCAAACCCTTCAGATCCTGCTGATGTTGCAACAATTAAAACTTCATACTGCGGTGTTTCCTCAACTTTATTAATTGAATGTGTAAAGCTATAGACGATGTGTAATTAATATCGTCGTTCAAATTGCTTGGTTCTTCTTATCATGAAGCAATTTAAAGAAATTTAACCGTTCCTGTTCTGCACCTTTTCTGCCCGTATGAGGGAACTACCAATCACTGCATTGACTTACTGCAAAAAGGGTAACAAATCCTACATATATGTATATTCCGACGTCGAATGATGATACCACATTTATTTTCTAATCACGTAAATCAGCACCTTAATTTACTAAAACCTTTTTCATGTGTTTTTATACCTTATTTTCTTTGATGTTCGATTCCAGATCTCGTTAATTCCTATTAATATTTATATGCAAATGTATTACCCTTCTTCCCTTCAACCGACTACCCAAGAATTCTAACAATTAATTCCCGTTCGTTCACATAAAACTATTCCCTGCGTACATATACAATGAACGAATAAATTATGGGAGCAACATGTAAATTGCATTCAATCATCTCTAACCCGTATTCTATTTCTTGAAAGCTTTCTCCTCCAGAGTGTGGAATACATTATGTGTGTACACACACATTCGAATATATGAATATACAACCAGCCAGGCACCCCTAACCTTACCAACCAAAACTGTCTCTAACATTACTTTTATTATTTAACATTTACACTGACCTAACAAAGGACGATTGACAAGATGTGGGTTGTACTTCTTAACGAAGGAATATTGTAATTTCAAAAGAAAAATTCATTTTTCCCTTCAAATAAAAAAACGTGGTCAACATATTTTTAAATAGTGAATCGGCGAATAAGATGTACTCCTCAGCTGAATATATGTATTTGTAAACCTTAATTTTTTCTGTTGAGGGACACGGAAACAATTATTTAAAGCAACAATAATAATTAGACTTATTAGGGAGTCCATCCACTGAGATATTTTGTACTCTGTGTGACCAAGCTAGCTATGCTATACGCTAACAATATATGATAAAAATGGAGCTACACATTAAATTATTCTTATCCAAACTCGCACTAATTAATTTGTCACGTTAAAAGTAATATTTAATTAAATCTACTCATCAAAGCACTATAAGGTGTCTTCTCTAACACTTAAAAAATTGCTTATTTCTTTGTATCGATATTCCTGCAGAGATTTTCATATACAAAAATTGTTTGTATGTACTTTCCCAAATAAATATTATTATGCTTATTGTTATTTTTTTAAAAAAAGTAACGACAAGGAGTATACATAATTTTTAAAAAGTAGTTCCTGCAACAATAAACCTTAAACTAATTCCTGAGATGATTCCATTGCCAACAACAGAACAGACCGTTCCCCGCCTCTTTTTTCGAAAATGCAATTAATTCCTTTGCAAGTGTTATGAAATAATTAATTGCTTTGTACATTGAGTTTGGTTGTCGTTTTCTAATTGTTCTTTTGGCTTGTTTTTATCATAGCACTCTGCAACGACTTCAAGAAAGTGTTGTTAAACTATTATATTACAGTATCGTCTGGACTGACATGCACTCACTTTTCTTTTGTTAAATCTTAATGTTAAATAGAAAAAACCTCTGAGTTGATGCATAGATTGGTTTCCTGCAGATTGATTTTGCAATATTTTATATTTTGCTAAAGGCATTTACTCCAGAATAGTTACTGTCTTTTTTTAATGATTCCTCCTAATTTTAAATTTCGTGAACATGGAAAGCTGCATAGTATTTAACCCTATACTCAATAAGGAGTTTGTATAGTTCATGATGATAATGATGGACTGCTTTGTATTTTCTCTGCGTGTCTGCATTTCCGGCACAAGTTTCACAAATTTTTCGATTCGACACGAGCGCACATAAAATTTATGCACGGAATCTGGATTTTTTTCAGATTTGTTTGCAGATGGTTGCATAAAAAAGTTTTGAAACTTGTAGTTTTACCTAACACCGGAGAATACGTACACATTCTTGAATTTGCATCAAGAGAGTTGAGACAGCAGACTAGCAGATGGGCTGGGATTTTTTGTTGGCTTCTTTTGTGAGTTTGGCATTTATGCTTAACCCATCGGTTTTTCCTTGTGCAGGTAGTTATGTAATTAGTATAGTGTCGTCGTCGATGCGATTGTACTGCCGTTTTTAGTTTTAATAAGGAATATCTTTGATTGGATCTCTATGTCTCTAATAAAAATGATACGTCATAAGATCTGCAATAATTGTTAAATAGCTGATCATTATTAAATAATGAATGACGTGGGTATAAATTATTAGTTATTGGTTACTGATCCTGAATTTCTAATGTTACTAATGTATAGATTCGAAATAGTATTCGCTGGAGGTAGATATTTTCAATTCCTGTGTGTATGTCTTTGTCTTGTCGCAAAAAAATTAACGGTTGGGTTGGCTGGTTGGTGGGGCAAAAATTCTATGCAGAGTTGTAACCTGATTTGATAAACTATTCTCTACAAGTAACTTAACTTACGATGATGAACACATATTGAGCATCCGAAGTCAAAACTTCGTCTGATTTGCTTTGCTTGCTTCATTTTTATACAATATGTCGCCCTGCTATGATTTACGATGATTATATATTTCTAAACCTGAGGAGATATAGCTTATTGGCCTCGACCAAAAACTTATCATTTTTAAGAATCTTACGATATTACTTGTACTGTACTTAAAATACGTAATTTAATAGTAAAAGCATGATAAAGCTTCCTACCATATTATTAGCCTATCTTGTACCTATGTATTCATCTACTCTTATGATTATATGGGTTTGTTTGTAAATTCTAAATTGTTAGCCTTATAGTAATTCCAGCTCAATCCTGTGTATATAATGTGGCCAGAACTTGTATCATTGTTATATTAGAGTTGACGCGTGGAACTTTTTTGTAATTTGAACTGTTTACTTGGCCTTTGGGTTTTTTATATATACGACTGAGTGAAAATTCTCTTGTTAGTTTTTTGATGTAAGATCGTCATTTTTTAATACCCCTGACACGGTTGATTGCGACTGACTCTAAAAAATAAGGGTGCTCAATGTTACTTTCATAATTTGTAGTTGTTTCTGTCATCCACCACAAGAAACCTAGGAATTGTCCCGACTTAGGATAAATTATAATTTCTACTTTCTGATTGATTGATGGCAAGTTAACTATTCCTAGGTCGATGGATCGATAGCAGAAGCGGGCCTCTCATATTTGACTACTATGCTATGTGCTTGGTCGATGATCTCCAAGTAATCCTCAACCAAGGTGGTTGTTGTTGTAGGCGTTGTGGGAGTGAATGAAGGAGGCCCACTTGGTTTGGAGCAGAGCTGCAAAAAAATATAGGGTAAGTAAAGATTTTGGATGGGACGGAGGGAACTGTCTCATGGTCTTTGTTTATACAACTAAATACTTGTACACGTGAACCGTATCCCCAAAGTTTTTAATTTATTAAATATTAATAATGGAACCTCCCCCTTCACCTGGTTCCAGCATCCTCGCCTCACCATCCACCAAGAGAAGGAGGTTAGCAGCGGATGGTTATACAATTCTACTAACGGGTATGTAAATGTGAAATAGATTGTTTACTTAGTGTTTGGTAATTATGCTGGTTTGATTGAGAACTCCTGCTCAATACTACTAAATTGTATTATGAATTACAGGGATCGCGAAAGCAGGAAAGACAACCATTTCCAACAGATTGACCCAACTGCTCAAAAGCCACGACATTCCCGTCAAGCAAATCGATGGAAAGATGTTTGCTGATGGGTTAGCCAAACCAACCCCCCTCCGACCTTACTTTGTGCACCTAGCCAGCAAGTCCGCGAAAATGTTTACCGAGGAGGGATACATTACAATCATCAGTATCATCGCCCCTTTGCTTAAAGTAAGAAATAATAGCCACAACATTATGAATCAGTATTAATATTCAATATTTCTTTGTGCAAAGGATCGAAAGGAGGCACGACAGAGTCATGCTAAAGTCGGAATGCGTTTTGTGGAAGTTTATGTTGACCGTGACAAGGAGGAAAGCAGGAAGGAAACTGGGTTTGATAGAAATGGTACAAATCCATGACATTATTATGTAGAATGCATTCACATTTTATGTGTGTATGTAGTTGCTCACGCAGTGGATGATGATTACCAACCACCCACCCCCACCCAACCTGCCGATATTGTATTAAATCGGATTGGAGACAATATGGAACAACTGTTTGATAGTTTGGTTATGGAATTGGTTCACCGTGTAAGCCAATTATGCGTTTTTTTAATTTACCCATAAATGAATGAAATTAATATGCAATTTATTTAATATTTATATAGCATGTCATTCCCTCCTCTATCCAAAACCCATCATCTCGTATGAGCATTCCACCATCATCCCCTTCATCCACCAGGTCAACTAGTGGTTCGGAAGGAGGAGGTTTCAAAAAACCACGCAGAAAAGGAGTACTACTTTCCATTTTTGAGCAAGTTTTGGTGGACATGAGACGCATTGGATTAGTGGGGAATTGGGACGGGGACACAGATAATCCCTTTTTCATGCTACTGATGGATGAATGGATTCAACACTATAAATCCTATGAAGGGGATGCAAGATTCTTCCCTGTTCTCATCCCATTCCCAAAACAGATGACCACACCCACGACTACTCCTAAGGAAGGGGAAAAGGCGGTTGAGAAGAAAATGCAGGATGATTTCATCCCTGTTTATTGGGACTCGTCTGACGGCACGATCAGATTTGGGAGAATTCAGCCAAGAGGGACCCATCCAAATCATGCTAAATGTTGCCGATGTTGGAACCAGGCTACGTCGACTGGTTGTCTCTGTGACACGCATAGTACTACAAGGATGACACATTTTTCTGTACTACTAGATAAAAGTACACAAAACCACTTTTACCATGTAGCCGTGGCATCCACTAGGGTAAAGAAGACTCTATGGACTAAGGAGGTTGGACCGTTGGAAAAAAGTTTAACATGACGTCGTTTTGTGCCTACATCTCCTCCCACCCAAACTGCAATTTCACCCCTAGTTATGAAAAATCTATCCTCACGTCCTCAACTGACAGAGTAGTACTGTTTCAAACAACAAAGGTTAGAACTCCTTCATTTTGATTTTCCTACATGAACATCAGTTTCAAGTTTCTATTTTTAATACATATAATATATTTTTAATACATTTCAGATCTCTGTCGCGCTAATCTGTCTTTTCCGGAATATTGAGCGTATTGAACATGGTGCCCCTGTCTTACCACCCACGTACACCTTTCTGCAGAGTGACATTGACATGGATTCTGTGAATTTAACTGTTTTATTAAAAATGTTGGAGGAGAATGGGATCACATTCTCATATACTGACGAAGATGACGAAATTCCTCAGAATTCTCCAGTCTAGCATCTAAATTCTTGCATAATTATACTTACCTAAATGTCAGTCAACCGGTTTGGAGCCTATGGAGGAGGTTCGAGAAGAGGGACGACCCTCTGACCCCGCGTCCCCTCCACGCATCCCTCTTCCTCCGCCCAGACTGTCTGCCCGCTCCCGCCCGTGATGGTCCCTCCCACTGTTCCCGCTCCCTGTGCTCGCCGAGCTCAGCGGAGGGGAGGAGGGGGGCAGGGGCAAGTTCGACGAGGCAGAGGCTGCTGCCACCGCGGCTGCAAACAAAATAATTACAGTTAGTAACAAGTTGTGTAAATATTGACATTGACATCGCTAGATGCAGTCCCACAACAAGTATGACTCAACCTCAGGCAAACTGTTTTGCAACGGTATGCCAAGTGAGTGAGTTCCACAAGGGTTGGAATACTGAATGTAGTGATGGGTGTGGATAACAACCTATTTACATACCCGCAATGGCTGCTGCACTTGCACCACCCATGTTCATATTCATGTTGGACACGTGGGAGAGAGGTGCTCGTTCAGATTGTGAGTTCATATGATGACCGTGGCTACTCATACCTCCGGTGCTGATAAGCTGTCCACCTGACATTGTTGTCCCATTATTTCCTGATATGAGAAATATTTTTTAAGTCGTCTGTGCTTTACGTGCAACGACATGACATTCTGTGAATAATTATTACCTATTGACGTAGGAGTACCCGTGTTGGGACTGCACTGACTCGGACTGGAGTTGTTTGACGGAGGGGACCCGAATGGGGGATGATTTCCGCCCACCTGATCTGGGTGGAGGGGATGTTGAAATGGTCGCACACCGCCAAGCAGCGCCCGATGTTCCCTGAGTAAATAAATCAAATTTAGCATCAACTGCATAGATAATTCAGCAGTTGGACACTCTCATGGCTTCAATTCGAATAAAGTTGAATCACATTGGTATTTATTCAGTATTATTAATAATAACTAAGGACTAACCGTGCCACGTGACGTCTCACTGTGTTATTTCTGGTAAATGTCCTCGTACAGAACGGACATGGAACTCGAATCCCTAAACGCATAAGGTAAACCAATAAGTGAGACAAGGAAAAGACTAAAGAACTAAAGGCCTCATTATCGTTGCTGTTTTACCTTGATGACGTTGTCGAATGTGAGCTCGTAAATTGGTCTCGTACCCGTACAACCGTTCACAAAATGGGCATTTTAGCTTCTTCCCTGCAAGGGCAAAGAGAGGGAGAGGGAGAGGGAGAGAAAGAACATGACATTAGATTACTCAATCATAAAACAAGACCAAGTGCTAATAAAAATGTGTGTGTGTAAAACACGACAAAAAATGTCTCTCACTTTCGGAGACTTGCTCGATGTCCGTACCATTTTTTGTCGTATGATATTGAGCCATACCATCAGCAGTGGATTGAGCATTTTCCAGGCTGAGGTCATGTGTTGTTATGTGCTGGGCGGAAGAGGGGGATGGGAGTGACCACACGGCGGAGGGACCCGGCATGGAACCAAATGGCGGTCCATCCGAGGGCGACAGGTCCATAGAAAACGACCTCTGCTTCCCCGTCATTCCTCCAACCCCAAGCTCTTCATCCCGACCAACTTCCAGTTTTATACTGAGATCTGTCAACCAAATATTTCAGTTAGTTTCATCGTACATAACTAATCACTTATCACATATTTGATCGTTTCATGCATCACTCATACCTTCAGGCATGGTGTTCTCCGTACTGGCACCTGTAATAAAGTTTAAAGATGAAAGTATTATTTTTGTGTTTAAAATTATTTGTTAACCACTCTGGTAATTTAGTTTTTGGATAATAATAAAAATTTTAATACGCACTTCGAATTTTGCGAATGTTTGGGTTCTCCGTGATAACAATTGTCTGCTGCTGCGCCGACTGTGAATGTTGAGTCTGAGAATGTGATTGTGGCGAAGGTGGAGGACCCAGCTGCCCGGTTGGGGGATACATGCTCGGCCCAAATCCTGGAAAACCTCCCATTGTCGGCCTGTCCAGGTTAAACATAATATTTAGGCACCAGCTTTCATTTGTCTCAAACGCATTATATGCATATTGTGTACCTTTGATCGATTTCCATCATTCTAGAATTCATTGAGGGAGAGGGCAAAGGAGCAGAAGGTCGTGGAGGATGTGAGTGGTGACCTCCTCCCCCTCCATAATCCATTCCGTCTGGAATGTTCCCCTCTGGGCTTGGGTGTTTAGGAGATGCCGAAATTCGAAACTTTTTCTTGTGCTTGCTGTCATCTCCACCTCCATAATAGCCTGAAAAAATTTCGACAAACAACATACAAAATGTAATTACAAATATGCGCCCGTACTAATTCTGAGCTAATACCAAATGTGTATATACAGGTATTTCTTTTACTCACCTGTTGGAGGATTTGGAGGTGTCTGGGATGGAGATGGGGAGGAGAATGAGTTTGGTGGGGATTGGCCAGAGTTGCTGTTATTGGGTTGTTTACCCCCTGGTCCTTGTTGTTGATGGTTGTTCTGGTTTTGTTGGGAAGGGGATTGGAGTAAGGGACCCAAGGCTTGGGTCAGAAGGTTCTCTTGAACGGGACCGTTCCCATTTCCGCCTCCACCACCACCCGATCCTCTCTCATCCCCTGGGTCTGTAGATATGCTTTGTAAATCGTTCTGAGAGAGTGACAACCCTTTCACCTGCACACATTTTAGAAGGGTATCAGTATTTAGGTAGTTTGCATAAACTGACAATAAATGAGCGAGTAGAGTATGTACCTGAAGCCGTTTTGCGGTTTGAAGGAAAGTGTTGAGGTTGGCGTCATCGATGTAAACCTCGCCTTTGTACATAAATTCAAGTAATGCACGAAGGTTGACAGGACTGGTGCCGTCGAGGATGACCACCAAATCCCGAGCCGATGAACATTGTTCAAACAACTCTTGGAAATGCTGACTACTCGCAGCCAATACCACGCGGTGGGCTCGGTAGCTTTCTCCTGAAAAGAGAAAAAAGACAAATCTTTCTTGAAATGCTCAAATCTTTCCATGCTGCGTCATGTAGTTTTTAACTCACCTTCACAAAAGAGGGTTACATCTGATAGACTCTCTGACTCTGTAAGCAACCAAAGTTAATTAGCCATAATTGATTATTTACTTGTTGACATTTTTATGAAACTTGAATGCGAGGGGATATAGCTCATGTATGTACCAAATAGTCGGACAAAGGAGTTTGCCAGATTGTGACCGTAGTTGCTCCATCTGAGATGAAACTGATGTCTTGAGCCCATTCTCTCTTAAATTGACAACACGAGGAACCGCTCAGAGCCAACTTCTCTACACGTTTGCCACGTATCTGAAAATAAAAAAATAATGAAAATTAGTTAGAATTGCAAACCCAAATCTGATTGAATCTTCTCTCTTCTGTTTGATAACAAACGTTAGATTCGACTTTCGCCTCGCAAAATTTTGCAATTATTTTATGTACATAACCTAATATTATTAAGATAAGCCACATATGTCTTCTCTAAAGTCAAGGTTAAAACTCTAGGATTTTATAATTCGATGGATTAACACTGGAACAATTTATCTAACTTTCAAAAAACATAAATACGCATTTTACTATTATGAGACCAAGAGATACCTTTGCATAAGAAACGATAAACGGGACAACGCACAAAGCGCTGGATGGATGGAGGAGAAAGTATGCATGTACACATGTACGTTGTGGGCTTTTACCCGAAAATAACGCAAATTTGGAAGGTTTGCAACATATCATAACAGAAAAATATGTCAACCATCAAAAAATACGTCGTGGATATTGTCTGAAATTGTTAAATATACTTTGCATTCGCGATCGAATGACCCCAAATCATTCATCTAATTGGTTTTGCCAACACTATTACCTCAACTCACAGCCACAAGAAGAGGTGTAAATTCCTTAGAACGGTGCAACTATGTTTTCCCATTCTGATTCGGACCCAGTTCCAGCACCGAATGTTTTACAAATTAGTTGTACGATCTTTTAAAGGTACGGATACAAAAATAATCTTGTGTATTTGTAAGTGTATGTACAAAGTGTGTATATATATATATATATAGATCACAGTTTACAATTTAAAACTTTTATTTTGTTCCTTGAGCAGCTATCAGTATATAAACATTTCTACAATGTCCTAACCTAAGTGAGACCATAAGTGAGGCAGGTAAGAAAAAGTGCGGAGAAAGTTTTGTACGCTGGAGTAAGAATGAGGAGAAAGACAAACAGGTTGGCAAAGTTTGTACGTAACGTAACGGAGGTAAATTCATAGTTCAAAGTGCAGAGCGTAGTAGTGTGGCGAGAGTGAGAGAAAGTCCTTCGCAGGAGGAAGACGTAAGTTTAGAGAGAAATCAAACTAAACTAATAATACATAAGAAATACATAACAGCAGTCAACATACAATAATACGCAGCAGTTTGCCAACGTAGGCCACTGCTCGGGGAAAGTTTAAGTTGTGCAACTTTCTAGAGAGGCAAAAACACGAGAAAGGCAGCCAACTATTCATCCATCCACAGCAAGTAAACCACACCAGTTATATGTATGGAGATAAGTAGATAGATACTGCCCAGATTCGGGTTGAAGGTTTAGTTCACCCATCTTCATCCTCCTCCTATAACTGACTAACTCGCAAACGTGAAGGCTTTTGTAAACAAGTAGGCAGTGGTGTAATAATATCATATATCGGCATTACATATCATGCCCACATCCGTGTGTGGGCAGCAAGCACTTCATTCCAATATGTCAGAGGAGGAAGGGATGGTGCACAGGGCTTGAGACTTATTAGGAATTTCTCTCTCCACGATTGCAATTAACTGCCTGCACATACACATTACTGCTTGCACACAATCTACATACACAAATATAGGCGGTCTGTTGATCAAAAATCGATAATCAAATTGCAGTGTATACTTAGTTTCCTTTCAATTAAACATCACTTTATTCGTTATACATAACTGTTGGCAGAGCCTGGAAAATAGAGAACTCGTTGCTGCATAGATGCACCATTCAAAGACAAAACACCACGAAAAAGTTTGTCCGTCGCACTAAATTATCTACACATCCATCGTCCTAGGACATAAGTAATGCATGGACAGGTTCTAGTGCAAATACAGTCGTATAACGTCGTTGTCTGGATAGTAGGGCTATGCACGCCATATATTATGACGCATAAAGGAAGCATCACGCCACCACAACCGCCACGCACCCAATCCATGGGGAAAGTTCGGCAGGGAAGCTACGACGGAGAAAGCAGTTGGCGAGGAGAGTTTGTGCATTGCATTGCAAGCACCTGTCGGTCACTCCGCCACCATCTGGACTACATACTACTTCATAAAGGCACAAAACTTTTCACCTTCTTCCTTCCCTCCTCCTCCTCCTCTGACCGAGTGAAAGCTCCGCAGGGAATGGTGAACATAAGAAGACGGGAAGTAAACCCGGCTCCTGGTTCTGGTTTCAGAACATGAGATCAAGGAAATCGTGCACTGCAGAGAATTGTCATGATGATGAACTCCATTTTCCACGTTATATGCATGGATGATTTAGCTGATGTACTTATATATGTAAGCCATTCTTTCTGAATAAACATTGCGTGGAATTGGAATACTAATATAACTAACAAATACTTAAATGGAAATATAAAGCTGATTTCACCATTAAAAAAATCTAAGAAAGCAAAAAATAACGTAATCATGTTCGCATTTGAGCTTCATTCATAAGCCAGCAGACAAGTATCCAATTACGATGGAACTTTTACTTGACTTTCTGTTGCAATAAATAGTACTACAACTATTACTACTACACATGTTTTCCTCTTTTCGATCATTCTACTCACCTGAGTCGTAGTAAAAGAAAAAGTACAAGTGCCTAGCAATCCGTCATGGCACCGCTCTTATGTACGCACGTAAATGTTGATATCGTTACCAGATGCTTCATTATCTTTTTCTGAGAATTGCCTATTTCAACGAGTGTGTGTTCTTTTTCTATTTCTACAACTTTCTTTACGCTCTTCATTCACCCACGTGTGTACGTATGTCTTGTAGTATGTGTGAGCATTCGTCTCAATTACTATGTGGGTCTCACCTTTCCCCAAGTTGTACTTCCAGTTCCTTATTTCTAGCAACTCAGTTTATGACTTATATGCAGAATGGCGTATACATATTCTCCATTACCATCATAAATAAGCCAAGGTATACTTATGCATGAACAGCTTCCTGCCTGGCAGTGAGGGTGCGAGTGCAGATTCAGGAGTATGGATCCGAGGGTGGCTGCTGCCCACGTACCTATCTGCTTTCCACCAAGGGCAGGCTGGAGAAAGTTCAGGGAGTTCACTTTGCTTTCACTTTAAATTCTCCCTGCGCTTCCTCCTTCGCTTCCTCCTTTCCATCAACTGCACATCCATAACAGTGGGAGACCTATTTACCAACTCCAACGCTCTCCTACTACGTCGTGGTCTACTTCATCATCTTTTTGATGATCCGAAATAACCTTTCTCCCAACTCGCTCTCCTCCTTTGGTCATGCTCATTGTCGTGGTGGGAACAACACGTGCATGTTGTATGAAAGGCTTGGGCATGAAAAGCTAGCCATGATCCGTCTTTATCTTACATAAAAACGTAGATATATTTGAAGCCCCTCCGTTCACAGCAGTAATACAGTAAATGCAAAAGTGTCGTGTAAGCCAATGCCTGTTTCAAGTTGCACTGCCGATATTTGCTCCATTAATGGTGAATACACGTATTCGTTATTCTGAGGAAGCTTGCATTGTTTGTGGAGAAAGCAGGGATCAATTATTGAATGGACATTGCCACCCATGCCAGTCTGGATGCTTGCTGAAATGTCCACGTGTAATATTAATGTCCATAGCTCATTGCGTATGCTTCCATTGCTGAATGCGACAATAATGCTGACCGAGTTTATAATTCAATGCATGACGTATACCCATTTCAAACGATGGAAATTCACAGATTCACATGTATTTAAATATTGTTTTCGAATATTATGAAGTATGAATCGTTTGGTTTTGGTTATTATGATGGGACTATTGTCAGGCAATAATATCGTTGTAAACTATTCACTTTTAGCAATACAGTCGGTAACCGGAAAAAATCACCTGGAAAAAATCACCCCGGAAAATATCTCCCGGAAAGAATCTCCAATGGAAATAATCCCCTATGAAAGAATCTCCTATGGAAAAAATCACCAGTGGACAAAATCACCATCGGAAAAAATCCCCAAATTAATAAATTATAGATTTACTTAGTAAATTTTACTTCAAATAATGCAACTCTTATTTTTCACTCTATATATGTGCATATTTGTACATACATACATACATACATATGTATGTTCATACATATGTACATATGTTGTATGTGCATACATGCATACTTGTTAATCTTAAGCTCGATTGTTTTTTAATATGTTGTACCACATGAGTGAAGAAGAACCACAAGATATTTTGATGCCATATTTACATTCCGGCAAAGGGTTTAAAACCCTAGAATCATCGCCTTCAAGCGCTCGTCAAAAATTCTAGTTTGTTAGGATTTTGAAAATATGTGCAGCATTGTACATACTCAGGTTCTCATATCAAATGCTTTATAAATTCAACTTTAGGAAACTTTGATCGTTCCCTGGTCAGCAGATTTTGCAAAAATATTAAAAATGAAAAGATTTGAGTTTGATATCGAGTTATCTTAGACTACAAAAGTCGAAATTTAGAATAGCATACAGTGAAGACTTCCTCCTGAGTATGTACATATGTATGTACATAAAGAACGTCCGGGAATGAATGGGAATGCGCGCTCTAGCGAGTATATTGACAAATCAATAAACCCGCGAACTATAATAATTTAAATTTCTGAAAGCCCACTTCATTAGGGTCAATTTGGTATATCACTCTTAAATTTCAAAAATGGATAAGGGTAGAAGAAGCTTGTTTGAAAGGGAGCTGTTAGCAAAACGAGTGATGGAGTTCTACAACACGACAGCCAACCGAGACTCCAAGGTGACCTAGAACTTTTTTAAGCAGGAAGGAATTCCAAGTTCAAATGTGTATTCCTACATAAAAAAGTTCAAGGATTCCGAAAATGTGCAATTCAAGAAGCCAGCTGGTCGTCCGGCGAAGCTAGCGACCACTCGAGTGAAAAATAGAATTGACAAAATTTTCAAAACCAAGCCATCAACGTCAGTAGCTGTAGCTGCCAGGAAAGTCAAAATTTCCAAAAGCTACCTGGGGGAAATTAAGGTCCATAAATTAGGAATCAAAGCAAGGACCAAAAAACCTGCACCAAATTACAAGCCCGTACAAGAAAGTCG